CTTTCCAATCCTACTCGTTGATTTGTGCGTTTAACGCTTATTCGCAACTCTTCCTGTCGCTCCATTTCAACGGAGCAACAAATCTAAAGCGATCGCTCGTGGAGCAACAAAAATATTTCTCATTGATAAGCGGCCATTGATAAGCGACCTCTTAACTAATAATATGCTTCCGATATTTTCCGTGTGTTACATATCGGTAGAAAAATCGGAATTGCCAGGACAGTGCAAAATAGTAGAGCAAAAGCGTAGACTCGTGACACGTTGCGCAGAATATAATTCAGCGCACTTACTATCTTTTCTATAATAATTATTGCTACATCGAGGAAGTACTACATCGTAATAATCGGTCTCTGTCAACGTGATTAGTGGTGGATTAATCAACTTATTGCTATGGCGTTCGTGTTGCCCTACATTCTGGCTCCGTTTTTCGAGCCTTTTAAAATGCACACGACGTACTGTCCCTTTCAAATTGTTTAAAGAGACTTCTTTATTTCGGCACGTGCATAGCAACGATAGAAAGTGGTCATCGAACATTTTCTTACGCTCCAGTTTGCTATAGCACCGTTGTCATCAACTGTTTTTCGTTCTTTCACTGTTAGCCGTTTCACTGTTGGTCTTCGACTTACTATTTCGATATAGAACACAGGCTAGAACTATCACTTTCTGCAATTCGTATGAAGCGAGATCATAGGCTTAACGATCAGTCAAGTCATTCGAGTCGAACCAAGCGAAGGTGGTTATCGGTTTTGCACGAACGATCAAGTACAAAGTGTTCGGGACGTTCGAGTGAAAGCAAGGTATATTTTTGAAACTACCGCGCATCTTCTCTTCTATCGTTCGTTTCGACGATTTATCCAGTTATATCCCTCGTCGAAAATATCTTCTTAACTGCCTCGACCACGGTGTCGAAACAACTTCTTATCGAGATCACTTGCGTTTAATCAACCGAAATGTCAGCAGAGTGCCATGAACAACAGAAGGGTCGAGGAGCTAATTATCGTATGACGAAGAAGGCATTGCGCAGCTATGTCGGCGCGATTCGCTGAAAAGGATAAACGATCGTGGCAAGATCTACGCGATCTAATTCCAAGCGAAAAAAAGGAAGGACGCTGTCGTGGAAGATAACGATGACGAGGACCACGAAGACGATAACGACGACGATGACGAGGAAACGTCTGTTGGTTGGTCGACGAGGGCAAGCCAATCGGGTCACCCAGATCCAATAATGAAGAAGAGTCGAACTGTGCTTTCTCCCGGGTTTACGTGTAAGCGTGTGCGCAGAATCCTATGCATACCTGTGTACACGCACTTGTACGAGCCTCTTCTCACATACTGACGAACGGCCAATGAACGCCGAAGAATTTTCGAGGTACTCGAGTCTACTCTTTGACTCTTATCCTGCGCAAGCTGCGAGGAGATCGTGACCGTGTCCAGACCTTCGTGTGCATACATACAGGGTGTCTTCTTCTTGTACTCGTCGATACAAGGCAGCCTATGCTTTTGAGAAACGCGACAGTTTGACTTAAAATAACGTGCACCGAGATTCGGGTAAAACTTTTGCATTATGGCACCTTTGCAAAATTTCACCAGCAATCCAACTTCAATTTTAATCCACAGTCAAAGGCTTCCGCTTTGTCCGTGCTTTCGTGCGTGAAACTCATTATGCCTTCTAAATTTATCTTTGTCTTGAAACGTATTAACGTAGGTCTGAACGAATTCACGTGGACTCGAAGAAAGTGGAATGAAGCCGAAATAATAAAAGTTCCCGCGACATGGGGTCACGTCACATCGATGAATGATTCGTCGCGTGAAAATATCTAGAATCAACAACAGCCGGCAGTCTGGTTAAATCTATTACTCCACTTGTAGCCAAGATCTCATTCGAATAGCAACTATTAACTATTCTGCAGGAATGAAAAGATCGTTAACGATAATTACCTTCACCTTTTGCTGGTCTGTTTTTGTCACGATCGAAACTACTCGAGACCGAAGACCGAGAGACGGAACGGTTCGAAGGAAAGTGACTTCCGCGTATTTACGCGTGTGTAGATCGCTTGCATAGCGCGTGAACAAACGGCAAACGAAAGGGAACTATTGTCGCGTTATCAGTGTTCCCACGATCAGGACGCTGCAACCTGTAATTGTCCACGGCGATTAATCAAGGCGCAGCAATCGATTTTGCCGAGTAAAAACGATAATTCCGTGAAATCGAGGCGCTACTTTGATTACTGTTTACACGGTCGCGTAACAAGATTCCGATTTATAATACGAAGTAGCAGAAAAAGACGGACTTTCTACACATTCTGCGTGATGCTTGTGATTTGCGGGCAATAGAAAACGAATTTCCGATAAATTGTCGTTGCTCCCCTACATAAGCAGGTGTTGCGTGCGCGTAATAATGTTGTCCGACAGAAAAGAAGCCAATGGATAACACAAGGAATTGATACTTTGTACTACCGGTATCTACCTCCACTCTCGGGATTCCTGTTTCTGGCCTGTGCTTGTGTTCTTAAGAAGAAGCACATTTAGCATCCAGCGTTGAAAACGGTCTGACCGTTCAGCAGCCAGCTATTTAAGAAAACCTCGAAAAATGCGGAAGGTCATCGAGAGTATGTCAGTTTTCCGGCGAGAAAATCTTTCTTCGTATGGCGACTTTATTAACGAAAAATTCATTCGTCATTACGAGACACAGGATCGAATTTATCATCCATAAGAAGGTCACAGGAACGGCGAAGAATAGGGCAGTGAGGGGGAATTGGTAACTAGGTTACCGGTGGCTCGGTGAAGCAACATTAAAGCAATCAGCTTCTCGCTCTCTTCATCTTTCTCACGGTTCCTTTCCTCTCAACATCAACTTGCATCAACGCAAGATCACGACTGATGGTCTGCCCCCCCCCCTCACCCTCCTCGACCCCCCTGTTTTCTTCGTTCTTCTTCAACGTCGTTCTCGCTTCTCTGTTTAGCATTACGCAGCCGTGATACGTAGAAGGCCTCGTATGCCTCTGAACCGACTGTATAACGGGATTTCGGGACACGAAGGGATACCGTGTGTGCTCACCTTCGAGACACGCATGTGAGCGTGTAAATCTCGGAAAGTATCGTGAGATGAGGAAAAGCGAGATACCGAAGCGGTGAAATACCGTGGGTCTTGATCGTTTCTTTGAATCTCGATGTTATCTGTTATCTCGCTTCCAGAATCCACTCGTTTAATTGACTCGTTAAGGAAGAAAATCTTTTTCTCCTCGGTACCCCTATCCGCCGTATTATCTACTTTCTTGGGTCACCGATATTACGTTTCGCCGTGAGAGGTTGCGCAGATTTTCGCGTTGAAGGTGAACTTTCTGCGCTGGAAACGTTTGTTTGGAAATTTTCAACATTTATCACGTCCAATTAGCAGGAAAGTGATTTGCAAATTAGAATGTGGTACGAACTCGTTTATAATTCGTAGCTTTTGTGACGCACGCACGGCACTAATTTCTTGTACCGTTACGAAAGACGGTGTGTGTGTGTGTGTGTGTATGTATAACGTAAGTAGATTTGAAGTGACGATTAATATACATATTACGTTCTTACCGTAGAGCGTGGCATTTGTCATTCGAGAGTAAGATTAAAATCATCTAACTTTTTCGCGAATTATCGCATAGATGTAGTCTATTTAATAATCCTTTCGCATAAATCACTTCTTTCAAGAAAACGATTCAATTTTTGTTACAGATGGCTGTCGGGAAAAATATATATTTATTACTCGTCATCCTTTCTTCGATGTCCGTCATTTCACACTCTTACGTGTCGCAAGCCACAGGTAACAATTGCATTATATAACAGACGAGTAACCGTAAATTAAGAATTAATGGATCGCGTTGCACGAACATGCAGATTGTGATTATATTCTTAACCAGAATAATTTTAAACGGAATGATATCTCGGTGATACGAAACACCGCTATACGATGGTTTTCATATAAATGATAACCTTTGACTTTTATACTTTCGCGGCATGCCATTCTACGATACTTTCCCTCGTCTTAACACGAACATTTTTCACCGACATTAGCCACCCGTGTCGCGAATCGCAATGATACAATTTTCTCTCCTAGTCGACAATGATGCAGTGTATTTCGATTCGTTAAAATATCGCGCAATAGATTATTCGGGATGAAAATTACCGTTCGTGAATATACTGTCGCATAAAGAAAAAGTTTTTCGTAGACCGACGAATCGATGTGATCTACACCCGCAATTCTCCTCGTTGTGAACCGTAGGAAATGTCGAGGGTCAATGAAAAGTTTCAGTCACGTGGAATCCCATAATCCGGTATTCACCCTGGTTCGTTACATATTCGCATGCGTTTGTGCAAGTACTCTAACCGATAATGTCGGGGCTCACGCGTGAATTGTCTGCATCGACGTAATTGCACATGTCAACACGGCTAAACAAACGTATCTTCCCACGCGTGCTTTCCAGCTAGATATTCCCATAATTTTTCAATTGCAGTCATTACGAATTATACACGAGTGGTTGGAGTTTCGCGTTTGAATAACAGGCATCTACTTATGCATATACCCTTATGCACATAGGTTCGCGGCTTTTTAGCTATCGCACACGTACCAACATTGACACCAAATTCCACTTACATACTCACTTCCTTTCGAAAGTCGTGGATTCCACGAGTCGCGTAGTTATACGCGCACGTATCTCATTTCGAATGCATATTCACGCGTTCTCAATAGAGGACAGAAATTTCAAGTATCGCTACAAAGTGTCACGCGTACTGTCGTTTATATTCGGGATTAATATCGATTCTTCGATATTTCACGATACACAGACGGCTCCGATATGCATGACCGATATATAAATAACGCGAACGGCTTCGATAAACTTGTCGAATACGGATTAAGCGTGGAAACAGGTTTCACAAAGTAGACAACGTTTCGATCGATTTCCTTCAATAAAGAAATGATTCCGGGTTTATTGACCAATATGGATACACTTATCCCGAACACGGTCTATATCACTTTCGCATTTCCTTTTCTTCAAACGAGTCGTTAGTATAAGCATCACGCAACGAGCTTATTTATCCTGCTCTTGTTACTGCATGAATTAAGAAACGCACTTACACGTACGTTCAAAGTCGGTAGAATAACGTTCCTGAATGCCGAACGGGCGGAAGGAGAGATGATAACGTGTCGTTTTGGATATTAATTACAACTGCTGATCGCATTGGCCGAGAATAAGTGGGATAAATTGTTCGAGACAGGTTTTAAAGCCAAACTGTGTGAAACAAATCGTTTTGTTTCTTGCGTATTGCAAACAGCGGGTTATGGATCATTGGACAATTCGGTTTAGTTTGCAATAGTTTCGTTCTTTACTTGCAATTTTGTCGTCAGAGAAATTACCAGGTGGAGGAATTTTTTCAAATGCGTAATTTCGAACAAATGAACGCGAACCTGGTAGTAGCTGGAACGCAAATTTGCAGCGATTGGAGCTCGCATTGCTCGTGACATAGTTCGACACAAAACGAAAGTCCGTGAAAAATAAAAAAAAATCTGGAACGCCGGAAGGATCCTGACAAGCTCTACGGACGATGCACAGAGTAGGTCATTATATCGGTAGTATGCAGGCATATAAGGAGGCACGTGCAAAGCCTACATGCTTGCTCGCCTATAGCTTAGTCACCTGAGCATAACCGATCATACTAAATACTGACTTTTACAAATATAAAGACATACAGAAATATTAAAACTTCTAGTTCCATCTGACAAACCCACATTTTCGTATCGACGAATTAAAAAAATAAAAATCTTCTGAAAACTCGTGACAGAATTTGCGGCAAGAATTTCTCGATTAGCGTGATTGTGTTATAGAGCACAATTCTTACTGTTTCGTTCTCAATTTCGTTATCGTAAATCGTAATACGTTTACGACTAACGATACTAGCGTAAACGTTAGAATAATAGCTGTTAAACCGAATGAAAAATTTATTTGACAGCACAGGAATTAACGATACTAGCGTAAACGTTAGAATAATAGCTGTTAAACCGAATGAAAAATTTATTTGACAGCGCAGGAATACTCGAAACGGAATGTTACACGATGATTCCCTTTTACAGGTAGAAGATTGTTCGGTGGATATAGAATAATACCGAAACCGTGCCAGCCAACGATACCATCCCGAGCGAAGCCAAACGAGCCTGCGATATGCATGTTTAATTACGAATGCTCGCGCCGAAATGGACAAGTCGTCGGGGCATGTATGGATGGTTTCCTTTTCGGTGCATGTTGCCAGTTGCCATTGAAAAATTCAATTAACAGCAACGTCGAAAATGTTCCAAACTCCGATGAAATATTCAACGTATACGCAGTCGATCACGTCCCAGATATTCCTATCTTGCTAAATTCGGACGGAACGCCGCTTGGTATGACGATATCCCAAGACAATACCGTGAAGACCGAGGTGCCTGGTACACCTAATCTAGCGATTAACGAAGGAACGACGTACACGAAAATTTCAACGTTCGACGCACCTTTGACCACCGCGAAACCAGTATCCGAAATTTCTCAAATTCAGGACAGTGTCCAGAACGCGGAAAAGCCGCAATTACCTGCGCAGCCGGACATAAGCCATCTCGAAGAAGATTTTCCGGCTTTGTTGGGTCAACAGAATGTCTTGGACGATTTGGGTCTTCCGGGACTGTTGAGTCACTCTGACTCGAACAACAACATTCAGAATCATCAGGACAATTCCGCTATTAATCCGGTTACCACTTTACTCAGCCCGGATCAGATACTTCAGATAGCTGATCCGGTTGACCAACTGCCAGCCTTGTTTTCTCAGGGATTGGGCCAAAGTAATCATAGCTCGGCCGATACGATATTGTTAAACGAGAACGGGACCATGTTAAACGAAATGAATAATCCTGATGATCTATTTAAACCCGACGACGAACCCGACAACGAGAAAAAGAAAGTGACCGAAACCCCGAGTACCACTGAAGAGCCGAAAGTAACCGACAGCGTGTCATCTACGAAAATTAAGAGGCCTCAGCACGACACCACTTATCAAAGTACTTTGACCACGGAGTGGTTAAAGTTTCCCGATCAATCTGCATCTTCTATGCATGGCGCGATATCTGCCTCAACGGGAGATCAAATATTCAGCACATCGTCGATGACGAGATTGCCGACGGTCACCCAAATCTATGCTAACACGCAAAGGCATACGACTACTTCACTGCCACAAGAAACAGCCATCGATAACTTTGAAAAAATTAGCACGATAGAGGAAAGAATATCAACGAAGAACATGGAAGCCATCGAGTCTACTACTAACGAAAGGACAACAACACCAATGACTACTCTAAACGATAAGAAGGACGAACTAGTTGAAATTCCGATAATTACGTACGACACACCCTCGGGTAATAAAAAGGACGACATAGTAGATAAGGAAGAATTAGCGATCAATCACATAATCTCCATTCTGAACAACACGAAACCAGGTGCAGGGACCACGATTCAAACCCCGAATTCGTCCATTAATAAATGGGTCAGCATCGACGAAACTTCGAAACCATCCCTGGTGCGAATCTCTACGAAACCTCCTACCGTTGAACCCACCACTGTTCAATCCTTTCCTTACACCTTTTATAAACCAGTGCAATCGTCGAATTATTACAATTACGAGACAGTTCCTACAGACACGACCTACGTTTCCTATTCGACCTCTAGCTCGCATTCGTCGAAACCATCGACTCAATCAACTTTTGCTGATATCGGCACCTCCAATTATTCCACGAAATCGTCTACGACAAACCCTCCTGCACCGACGGTGATAGTTCTAGGCCCTCTTGGTACGGAATTTACTACGGAAACTACTCAGAAAACGATGACGAGAAAGCCAGTAACCGAAACCGTCGGACCTACCACGACAGCTTTGAAGCCCACTGTCGGATCGGTGAAACCTAGTCCACTTACCACGAAGAAACCCAGCGTCTCCACGACTATAACTCACAACATTAGCACGGTGATCTCCAATGTTGCTACTAATAACGTGGTTTCGACGAGTTTCTTCAGTGTCAACGTGAAAGACGGGACTACTTCTAAACCAACGGTGAACAATGACTATAGCACAGAACCTGTTGTCGTGGAGACCGAACCGGTGCAAGATTCCGAGAAGTTAACAACGAAAAGACCCACGATCTGGACTACCCTCTCTACGTGGCCTTTTAAACCAGGTTTCCACTTGAAACCATCCACTCCTTCGTTCATATTCTCAGACGAGAACCTAGCACCTGTCAATACGATCATCTTCAAGGATCCTGTGATATCGACGGTAATGGATTTCAAAGCGACCACCGCTTTGCCACACTGTGACGAAGAAACGGCTGCACCTGATGATCTGATCAACTTCCCTCCCGTGCGAAATCCAAATCTCAACATATCGGCTCCAATTTCGCAACAGGAAAAGCCGACTATAGTTGAAACCTTTAATAACACGGGTTATCCGGATATCGAGATAATAAGCGAAAATGATATCCCAACGCCGACCTTCATCGAAGATGATGTTCTCACTAACAAAGTCGACACTTTCGTCAACAAAATCGTACAGTCTCTACAAGGCAACTTCCAAGTATCTATCGTTTCTACGTTTATCGTTACGCTTTACTTTAACGTCCAAGACTAATTTTCTAATTTTCTTTAGGATCTCAAAGACGTTGTGTACAATCGTGTGAATGCAACATCGATCGTGCCATCCACCGTAACGAAGAGACCGATCACTACCACGAGAAAACCCGTGCGAAAACCATCGACAACGACGAAACCTTCGTACGCGACGACGAAGAAACCGGCAACCACGAAGAGGCCAACCAATCGTCCAACAACCTTAAAACCATCGGTATCGGAAAAACCAGTTCGTCCTTCGAAACCGTCAACTTTGAAACCGAAACCAACCACGGTGTCCGGCGTGACCACGAAGAAACCCCAGGTTACAACGAAACGTACTAGACCAACTAGAAAACCTACTACAACGCTAGCTACAAGCACGGAAGCAGCAATTGTGGGAGAAGATGAAACCAGTACTTCGAGCGCAGTCGAAACTACCACGAGTTCGCAGATTACGTCTTCGAATGACTTTCGTTCTCGTAAGTGTTTATGCTTGACTTTGATCCCTCTGGATTTGTCGTGAAAACTGTATGATTAATCCGTAATAAATAATCACAGAATGTGGCATAAGACCGTTGATAAAGTCTGGTAGAATTGTCGGTGGTAAGGCAGCATCTTTCGGTGAGTGGCCATGGCAAGTTCTAGTTCGAGAAGCCACTTGGTTGGGCCTCTTTACGAAAAATAAGTGTGGCGGTGTTTTGATCACCGACAAGTATGTCATCACGGCAGCCCACTGTCAACCAGGGTAAGTCTATGCCTATAAGTATATTCTTCATTCGTCTTTGATGATATTCGTCTTTCATAAATTTTCTAATAACGCGAATACGTACTTCGATGAATTGTTTCACAGATTCTTAGCAAATTTGGTAGCCGTTTTTGGAGAATTCGATTTATCTGGCGAATTGGAATCAAAACGGAGCGTGACGAGGAACGTACGACGAGCGATCGTTAACAGAGGCTATAATCCGACTACGTTCGAAAGTGACTTAGCTCTTTTGGAACTGGAATCGCCGATACAATTCGATCTTCACATTGTCCCGATTTGCATGCCCGACGATGGTATAGATTTCACTGGTAGAATGGCCACTGTTACCGGCTGGGGTCGATTAAAATACAGTGAGTATCATTTTTATTTATACCGCATTTCACTTTCGAATAACACGGTATATTTATCAATAATTCCAATTCGCAGATGGCGGGGTTCCTTCCGTTTTGCAGGAAGTTCAAGTGCCTATAATTAAAAATTCCGTGTGTCAAGAAATGTTTCAAACCGGTGGACATTCCAAACTAATTCTTGACAGCTTCCTCTGTGCCGGATATGCCAACGGACAAAAAGATTCTTGCGAGGTATTTTCAGAAGAATTTCATTTCCTACTGCGAATTGTTATTCGTTAATTCCTTCGTTACTGAACATTGTTCATTCGACAATCTTGCAGGGTGACAGTGGTGGTCCACTAGTAATGCAACGACCAGATGGAAGATGGTTTTTAGTAGGCACGGTGTCCCATGGAATAACCTGTGCTGCACCCTATCTTCCAGGTGTTTACATGCGAACAACTTACTTCAAACCTTGGCTACACAGTATCACTGGGGTTTGAAAGTCAGCAAATAGTGTATTTTTCCTGGACAAGGTGACAGGCACCGATGATTTCGTGCCACTTGTATAAATGTACAAAGGAAGATTAATTTATTTCCTTCGGAATAGATTGAAGAAGATCGACTAAGCGACTAACAGGACTAAATGGACATGGATACGTTTCGTATACTATTTCCAATTTTAAATAATTTTTATTACCTAATTATTATTATTTTTTTTCTTTTTGAACAAATTCTCGTTAGAGTGGACAAGAACGTTCTATTGTTTTTCGATTATTTAAATTTTGGAATGGTGTAAGAATCGATACTCTGTCTCTTTCGAAACATTTTTATCAGTATACGAAAAATCACCGCGTATTTATGTGCATCGAACATTAAGCGTGTTGTGTGTTCTATGTATATATACGTGAGTACGTCTTACACGTACTATATGTATACAGTTACGTACTGCGAGCCTTATTTATTTCGTTGTTAGCTGTTATTTATTAAACCCATTTTTATACGAGATAATGGATTTCTCTTTCCACCCTTGCCGCCTATAAAAAACGAATTAAAAAAAAAAAGGAACGAACATTTTCCTTATAAAAAAAAATACAAAAGAAAGAATAATAAAGGAGTATGAAATAAAAATTATAGAAAGAAATTTTAATTCATTAGGTAAAATCTTTAAACGAACTTAGAATAATTAGCAACCTATGCGTGATAATGTTACAAACCTCAACCATGGTGGATGAAATTTCTTGGAAACCTAGTACCTGTTACGTCCAAGAGCACGCGATGGTCAATATTGAATAATCTTGCCATCCAGCGTTTTCTAGCTTCAACGAGCACTATAGATTAATCTACGTGAACACGTATAATTAAACTAATTTAATCTGATAAGAAGACGAAAATAAAAACGATTGATCTAGAGTAACATTTTGCCTGTGCAACTTTCTTCAATCTAGATTTTTCGCTTAAATATGCTCTATAAAAGAATGCAGACCACATAAACCTTGTTGCTGCGTGTTATAAATAGTTCTTACACATGCAAAGTAAATTGCATACTTTGGCATTTTCACAGACAGGTGGTTGTGCACCTAGCATAGGTACATTTACGGGAAATCTTCAGGAACACGTGCGTGTCAGGAGTATTTGAACCGTGATCTACAAACATGAACACGAATCACATAAAATCTGAAGTTCAAACATGTTTCATTTTCGAGTCGCCATAGAATTGCTCGACTGTAGAGATAAAACGAAACTCGGTTATGAAAATGAACGTGTAATTGGAAATAAAACGTCACGATTCCGTTATTTTATTTAAGCACAGCGACACCCTTTTTGCTATTACATATACGGGTAGAGGTATTATTCATGGGCCACGTAGGAAACGAATATATGGAGCAGGATCGACCGCCCTGTGGAACATCAGGACATCCCGGATCAATACGACCAACAGAGATGGAAACAATGACGTACAGGTGGAATGACGAAGAAAGAGTTAAACACCTACACGAAAGTGTTCAACGAATGGCGTTGCTGTATTCCGAGGTGAATTGCAATTTTCACGTAGATATTTATTTCCGTTTTAAACAAATCTAATTGTCGAACGTACTATATTCCTCTATCAAGAAGTCCTGGCAAAAGCTTCTGCTCTAAGATGAATAAGTGGAAACTCTGCAACGCGTTTATAACCCCATCACGGTATTAACAAATACAATACGCGACTGTTAATTCAATTTAAACGAAAATCGCATTTATGAAGCAATCAGAATTTTCGGGTAGATTCGAAGCATAGAAACATAAATCGTCCTGTCATTGATCCAGTAACAACATACGTTTTCATTCACGTCGTTCTTCGAGGATAACGATTAGAAATTTACATAGATATTGCAGGCAGATTAATTTATCTTGTTGTTGACAAGCGAAACGAAGTTGGAAATGATGAAAATACGAAGGCAAAATCTGAATGAACAAAATGGCACCTGGGTCGTATGCGTAAAAATGTCAGGTGTTGCGCTTGCGCGGATATTAGTACGAGCCTGTACAAGGGAAACCGGAACAACGTAGGAGTATAGATTGCCAATGCAAGCGCGACCGGACTCAGTCCTCCAGCAAGCTGCATTGAGGACTTGTTGATCCCGAGGAGAAACAAGAAAGATAACCGATTCTTCCTGATCGATCTACCAAGGAGTGCCTGGAAAATTCAACCGCGACAACTGGCAATCCTGTAAGTTCTCTTAAAATTATTTTCCAATTTCTACTTACACGACCACCGACAATTTTTTACCCTTACCATTGTCTCGATATACACTTAAAACGTTGTTTCAATTCATTCAAGAAAAATTGAAGGGATGTTAAAAACTGTTACCTTTCTCTTACATTTTTGAAGATTTTTCATGCCCCTGTCAATACCAATTTAGTTATAATTTACCCCATAAGAGTTACTATATAATAACTCCAAGGAAATCAGTTTGTTTAACTTCACAATGGAGAAATAAAATATTTATTTGTCAATATTTGTATCTACTTCGTTTTCCTATGTGAAATGTGATCGAAGAAGTTATCGAAATGACTAAAATTTCAGGTGATCGAGGCATATCGTGTCCTTATACGAGACAAAAAATGCACACGTGTGTTGCATTGATCATCGTTGCTCTAGCGAGCTCGATGCACTTTGGTGTCGATGCATGGGGCGCTCTCTTTAATCGTTTCAGCCCGGAAATGTTATCGAATCTGGGCTATGGTAGTCATGGTGACCATATGAGCAAAACAGGGTTGTATCAGGTATGAAAGAAATTTGTTTGGAAAAGTATTAGTTTCTTCAATGTCGAAGTGTCTTTATACACCAGACAACTGTTGCAACTTTGCCGCAGTACGACCGGTGTGCGATCGATATATTATTTTCATAGAAATGCGTGCTCGCAATTGCATATTGCACATATTTCTCGTAATGCACGTGTGATTCGATTTCTTTTGACATTGACTATCAATTTCGAGCGATTTCATTACGAATCGCTCGTTAAGACTTACATGCGCTCAGTCGAGCAAGTCGTTCGAAATATTTTATTCGTTCGCGAGATATAATTACAAAAACACGTATGCTATACACGTGTACAGTGCGCGTTAATTCGCGATAGTTAGAAATTGATCGGTGACAATTCCATTTTCGATAAGGAAATATAAAATTATACTAATTTCACGCATTTTGGTTCCAAGCGTCCATTATCGACCGGCCTTGGATTTTCTTATGATTCTTTAGAAGATGTACCTTGCTACGAAAGAAGGTGTTCAGCTAACGAATATTGTTGTCCGTCTTTTATCTGCGTAAGCGTTGACGGAGGTAATTGTCAGCCGTTGTACCCGCGTTGAATAATTTTAAGATGCGAAATTAGACAAATGCAAAATGCCTCTTCTTCGATCTTAGATATCGGCCGCTGCGTTATTGAACTGGGGCAAAAACAGGGAGAACTTTGCAGGAATGATAACGACTGTGAAACTGGCTTGATGTGTGCCGAAGTTGCCGGCAGCGAAACTCGTTCGTGTCAGCCACCAGTGACTTCGAATAAATTGTACAGTAAGTAGAAATATAGGAGCGATATCGATACGTTCATACGAGCAAATGTCTTTTACGCGAGAAGAATTTAGAGATAATCGATAAAGGTCAATTCACAAGGGATTAGGTCAAAGGAAGAGGCACTTGCCTGAGAAATGTATATTTAGCTTTTAAATTTAGAGTATCCTATTTTTAATCTTAACAGATGAAGAGTGTAATATCTCTGGGGAATGTGACATCAGCCGTGGTTTGTGCTGTCAGCTTCAGAGACGTCATCGACAGACACCAAGAAAGGTATGATTTTGCATTTTCGAACGAAGACGTTAAACACCTCTGAATCATAGCTGACGCTACCAATGTTCTTTTTTATTAGGTTTGTTCGTATTTCAAAGACCCTCTAGTATGTATCGGACCAGTTGCGATGGACCAGATAAAATCTGTCGTTCAGTATACTTCCGGTGAAAAGCGCATCACTGGACAGGGAAATCGAATCCTGAAACGAATTCCCTTCGCCTAAGAGCTTTGTTGTTCCTCATATACTGGTGAGAATGAAAGGAGAGTCCACATAAATCAAATCCCTTTTGTCGTTATACTCGAAAATTTAAGATAAGTCTGTTACTTGGAAATTCTTTTAATTGATTTGATGTTCGTAACTCTCGTGTGTCAAGGCAACGGAGCGGAGAAAACATAAACGTGTCTTTTTCAATTGTTTTCCTCCAGATATTACGACTGATAAATACGATACATATCAGAATAGTCCGTCTTATAGAATTATAAAGTATACTATATATTAATGGGAAAATTTATGCGACGCGTTTCCAAAAGATATGTATTTTTAACGTATTGAGCGTACAGGGTGTGTGACGGAAGAGAAAACGTTTCCGTTTTTCCGTTATTTCTCTATCCATGTTCACCTTCTAGTTAGACGTATTGGAACGTAAACTCTTCGAAAATATGTATATAGGAATTGAATAGCTGGAATCTAAACGACGATAACGATAAGAATAGTAGAGAGAAATCATGATTCTAGAAATTGAATTCCTTCGTTGAAAGGCTCTGATAGAATTTTGTTACGAGTTCTTTAAAGAAAGAATAGCGTTTCTTTGATTCACCCTGTACACGACTAAAACTATTTTTACTTTCAATGACTGTCAAAGTTTATCATCTTATAAGATCCTTGAATCAAGTTTCCTAAATTAACTATTAAGATATTTACTCGAATTACTCAAACGCACACTGAATAAAGTATATTTTAATTCTTCTGATCCTCGGAAAGAGATCAAATATTCATCAAACATATCAGTGATAAAGGAGTATTTTTCATGCGAAGAAAGTTGAACACTGAAGTGGTATTAAACTATTAGATAAATGTTTAAAGTCTAATTATGAATGGCGTATAGGAATTTGTTCGATCATGTCGAACGTTTAATCTAACGAAAATGTTACAAATCTTCATCGGTGTCTAACGAACATAATTTATGCTTTACCGTCATATCACGATAATGTTCGAAAGTAATGCATTTTAATTAAGATGAATCCACATGAAGATTGGAAGACAGCAATGAAGTTTTGCCTAGCATATATTCCAAATTATTAGAAAATATACGTATATACGTAGAAATTTAGTAGAAAGATTTATTTAAATGTGGAAACCACTGGATTAAACATTTATCGCGGAAATCGCTCTATTAAGCATTAATCGCGGGAATCGCTCTATTGAACATTGAAACCTCGGAGGTCGCTTCGTTAAGTGTTACTGAAATCCTAATGTTAAATATAATATAATTAAAAGGATATATATCTATATGAAAATCGTTACGTTAAATGTTAATTAGAGTCGTGACTTTGAAAAAAATGTATATGACGTAGGAACATATTACTTACGAATATAACCATGAAGATAAAGAATACAAATGAAGCAAATGTTACAATTGTAATCACGAGAAATTCCAGTGTCGTTTTGAACACTGTTGCGAAATACTTTCTGATGCGTAAAGTACCTGTTGCGAAATCTGGACAACCCCTCGTTTCTATGCTATTGATGCTAGTCATCGAGAGTCCAAATACACAAAAGAGAACATATTTCTAGTTATACTATATTATACTTCCATCGTTGACCTTTTATCGTATAAGGAAAATTGAACACATTACGTGAATGCCTAATCCATTAAGAAAGTTTTAAATGTGAATGTTATTACGAGATATATCTTATTGAAATTATATTTTTATCTTCGATCGATATGTGTATCTAAACGCTATATATTTACATAGTATTCATATATTTTCCGCAAGCGTATATCTATAACATAATATAACCACCCTCTGATGCGTCGTGCGTACGTCATCTGATAAGGGTTAATTCAATATTTTATTGCAAATTCACATTTTTCGGTTATAAATTTCATTAGATATTGTAACATGCAATATCTGTTACGAGAAACTTCAAATCATAATCCTAGTCTTTTTACGCTACTGCAGGGTTGAGGGGGGAGGGGTCACACACAGGATTGAATAGATATGTATATATTCTCTCAGCATTGATGACGATTATTAATTATCATGTATTTCAAAAATAACAAATAACAAGTAAGGTAAGACTAATTCTACTCGCTGACACTATCTCTCAAACACTCTCTGATACATAACGCCACACTGGCAACTCACTGGCCTCTCACAACACTGATGCTCTCGCTGCAACTCTCTCTATTCTCACTACGACTCTCTATGCTCTCTAAACTCTCCACACTTTGACTCGTCCGCGTCCTTGCACCCTTATTTAAACCTTACACTTTGACTTTTTTCATGTTCAGGATCTCTTCCTCGATCACGCATTTCCCACGCATCCTTGCCCTTGATGGGCCAGGTACTTCAAACACACAGGACCCATTCCTAAACTTTTGATTCTTGCTCGCATTCCACTCTGTCATAAATATCCCTTACGATCGATCCTCTCGCACGCGGTCACTAGTCACATGTCCCAAACACTCTAAACATTCTCTCAGGGCCGCCATTGTTCCATCACTATTTATCTTTATTTTTACCTGTTTATATGATCCATTCGATTATTTGATTACCGTTATTCGAGAAATTGAAGAAAATGAAGATAAACTAATAAATGAAAGTGATACATATCATGGAATTGTAAGCTCTTTCCGACATGGAACTTTTGAACAGAAAACTCCATATTGTTTAAACGTACGACTCACTGAGGGCTGTGGCCATTATGGCCTGGAGTCAAAAGTACCTCTATCAAATGAATTAAATCCAAGATAAATATATGTGTATAACTATGTATATGTAATGTTCAAGATTATAATACAGAGTTATAATAGTTTAGTGTGAAATAAACTGTGGTGCATACAAAACAGTTAAACCCGTTTTGCGTTTATTCTTCCATTATATGCGAAGAAAGGATCTCCCCTCCTTTCTTTATAAATTTTGGGTATTATTTAAATAAATAAGAATAGTTACAAAAGGTCCTGTCTTTACTTGGCGAATTGTTTCAATACCGTTTCAAATCAATCGTTAGTAACAAATTAATATTGTTAATAACAAATTGTTCGCAACGTAAATTTACAATAAAAGTGAAAAAATGAATAAATTAGCAGTTATTACTTGAACTTATAATGTATACTTGCGTTAAAATATACCAATAATTTACAAAAAGTTTATAAATTATTACACTGATTGTTAATAACAAAGTAATATTGTTACTAACAAATTGTTCACAACGTATACTTATAATAACAGTAAAAAAAATTAATAAATTATTGGCTATTACAACGAAAAAATAACAATTAATGGAATCGGTAAAGCTCGGAAATTTCCGTCGATCTTCGGCCGATCGGCGGCTATATAACGGGTGACGCTCGACTGACGAAGTCATTTGCCGGTTTGGCATCGTCGGTGTATAGTCTATATTTTTTCGTGTTTGGGAGTGGGAGTGGGTCCGAAGTGAGGTGGGGTTGGCTACCCCATCAACCCCACCCCCTTAAACAATTTATTAATAACTTTTTTATTTTCAGCTATTAATTATTTTTTTCTTTGAGATTTTAATTATTCTTTATTTTTTCAGGTTTTAATTTTTTTTTTTTATTTCAGATGTTATTTTTCCGTTTTTATTCCTTTTTATTCAAACATTCGAATATTTCGTATAATATTCGAATGTTTCGTCATTGTTTCGTTCATGTCTCATTGTTGGATTCTTCGACTTTTCTTTTGTTTCTATTTACTAATCCGTTTCATTTATAATTTTAATTATTCCTTTTTTTCAGATTTTATTTATATTTAAAAATTCGAATATTTGGTATAATATTCGACTGTTTCGTCGTTGGGTTGTTCCTTACATTTGATTTACCTTCATGGTTCATACTCGTTTCGCATTTATCATATTTCCTTGTACTAATCCGTTTCATTTCTCAGGTTTATATATTTTCTTTTTAGGTTTCAAGGCTTATCAAAATTTTATTGAGAAAACATCGTAGGATGACGCGGGATGACTGCGTTTAGATCTAAGTAGTTATAAGCAGTTATAAAATAGATCTCTAAGTTAAGTATCTGTACAAGGGTAAGCCACCTAATTTGGAGCAAACATATACAATTGATATTTCTCCTCTCTTACCCTTTCCGTTTACTAAATATACAAAGAAAAATCTTTGGAAAACGATAACAAGCTAAGAACTACGCTCCATATTTATGATATTTCTCATCTATTGTAAGTTTTTAATGTTTGTTTTGAAACTTTGTCAAATTTCCGAAATTTTATAGAAAATTGTATTCTTTTTTTCATAGACTGTTGTATGTTACAAGCAAGCACTGACTGCGTTGCAATAAAACCTTGTACACACGTCATCGTTAACTCGCTTTACCAAAAATTTCACAATTTCAGAAAACTGAAGGTGTTAGAACAATTTCGATTACGAATTTGTTTTCAGGAAGTTTTACTAGTTTTCATTTTCAAGTTTCCCTCGCATGCATATATCGAACGTAGTCTGAACCTAGCCCAGAATATTCCAGAATAGATGGCGTTACTTGCTGACGAACATCCGTTACGGATAATAAAATGGTCGTGTAATTTTGAGGACAGAAGAACGTAATAAGAACTGACGCTCTTTTTGCTAAAACTATCTCAAACGTGAAGTGTCCGAGTTCCTTGGACGATCAAAATGACCGCAATACCTGGTACTGTGGCCTTTGATGAATTCGGTCTACCCTTTATTATCATCCGTAATCAAGAAAAGCAAAAACGTCTAACCGGCATTGATGCTATCAAGGTAAATTTACATTTTTTTAAACAATTTTCCTTTACGTTCGTTAGTTGAAAAAAATAGTAAGTATTATTTATTTTACATTTTATAATTTCATTCAAATGAAAAGTTAAGAACTTCTATTAACGATTTCTTTCATCGACCACGTGAAATATTAATGGCGACATTTTGGCCTTGGCAATTATTCCTACAATTTCTACTTAAAGTACATAATCTGAATCAACAATATACGCATATTTCCATGTTGCATTATATTTTCCAAATTATTTTTTCCTTTTTGTTTATAAAAACTAATATTAATGTAATTTGATAGAAAGTACTGACATTGACTTTTGTCCATATAAGGAGTTCAGTGATTTTATGGAAGAAGTCCAATGGAGTCCTGAATATTTGTTAATGTACTGAAACTTATAGATGTTATATCAAATATATGTATTTAATAAATAATTATCCAATTACAGTCACATATTCTGGCAGCCCGTGATGTAGCCAATATTTTAAAAACCTCTTTAGGTCCTAAGGGCCTTGATAAATTAATGGTTAGCTCTGATGGTGATGTTACTGTAACAAATGATGGAGCAACAATCTTGAAGAATATGGATGTGGACCATGAAATTGCAAAACTAATGGTTGAATTATCTCAATCTCAAGATGATGAAATTGGAGATGGTACTACTGGAGTAGTGGTCTTGGCAGGTGCTCTGCTGGAACAGGCCGAACAATTATTAGATAAAGGCATCCATCCGATTAGAATAGCAGATGGTTTTGAAATGGCAGCAAAATGTGCAACAGATCACTTAGCAGAGATTGTGCATGATTTTGAGGGCAGTCCAGAAAACTTAGAACCTTATATAAAAATTGCAATGACAAGTCTTGGTTCCAAAATGTAATAAGAATGTTTTATATTTTTTTGAGCTTAATGTGGACAAAAACTGACAATACTTTCTTCATCTTTTTTCAGTATCAACAAATGTCACAGGCAAATGGCAGAAATAGCTGTAAATGCTGTATTTGCAGTTTTAGATCCTGTTGCACGCGATGTGAACTTTGAATTGATAAAAGTAGAAGGAAAAGTGGGAGGCAGATTAGAAGATACTGTTCTAGTTCGTGGTGTTGTTATTGACAAAGACTTTAGCCATCCTCAAATGCCTAAGGTAAAATTAGTTGTTAAGATATTTAAAAAGTATATGTATATATATATTACACTGCCTAATGATGACAAACAAAAACAGAGAAGGGCAAAGATTTAGAAAATTTGTTTAGCTTATTTATTTTTGAGACTTGGAACTATTTCTTTGGTTATTTTCTTTTTTAACTTTTGAAAAAGCAAAAATCTCTATTTAAGTAGCTATCCAATGATCTGATCTTTGCAGTGGCTTCCATGATCAAAGGATTATGAGAGCTGAAGGCATCTTTATATATTTGTCTCCTTTTTATTGTATTATTTTATTGGACAATGAAATTTTTAATAGAGAAACATTTATCACGTTGCAGAGGTTGGAGGATGTCAAATTAGCCATTTTAACATGTCCATTCGAACCACCGAAACCAAAAACTAAGCATAAGTTGGATGTTACCTCAGTTGATGATTATAGAGCATTACGTGAATATGAACAAGAAAAATTCACAGAGATGGTGAAAATGGTGAAGAATGTTGGTGCAACCCTTGCAATTTGTCAATGGGGATTTGACGATGAAGCTAATCATCTCCTCCTTCAAAATGGATTACCTGCAGTCAGATGGGTTGGTGGCCCAGAAATTGAAGTAAGTTTTGCTTCTAGTTATTGTGTCTTTATTTTAATTGCCCAGTGATGACAAAATTTAATAGAAGAGAGTGAAAGTTATGATAATAAGCTAATATCATTTTTTGAGACCTTATCTTCGAATATTAGTTTTCTATAACTAAAATTAAGTTGAAGATTTCTTTAAATGTATTAGTTAATTATCTTTTCTTTCGTGTTGCTCTAATGATTAATAGATTATGAGATCTGAAGGCTTAATTTTTTCTGCATTATTAATTTTCAAAAAAGATAAAGAAGTATATATGAAATAGTAGCAAATTTTTTTTAGTTAATAGCTATTGCCACGGGTGGTCGTATTGTACCTCGCTTCGAAGAATTGACACCGGAAAAACTTGGTCATGCAGGTGTTGTTAGGGAACTAACATTTGGAACTACTAAAGATCGAATGCTCGTTATCGAAGAATGCAAGAATTCTCGCGCAGTTACCATCTTTATCCGTGGTGGCAATAAAATGGTAAGTAGTAATTTAAATCCTTACAAAGAAAATAAAAGCAAGGAGAATTTCAGTGATATTTAAATGTATCTAAACTGACCAGACACCTTGCAAGAAAAAAGCATTATGACAATAACTTTGTTATCCAATTAAATTCAATTTAATTGGACTTTTTTGTCTAATGCTACAATCTTGTACACTATTACTTTTATTTATTTAGTGCAAATATACAGGTCTATGGATTTCTGTCTTCGTTTATAGATCATTGAAGAAGCGAAACGTGCTATTCATGATGCATTATGTACAGTTCGTAATGTAATCAAGAATCAGAAGATTTTGTACGGAGGCGGTGCCGCTGAAATTTCTTGTGCTCTTGCATGTGCAGCAAAAGCCAATAAGATCAGCACCTTAGAACAGTATGCCTTCCTTGCGTTTGCCGAAGCCCTGGAAGCTATACCTATGGCACTTGCTGAAAATTCTGGCCTTTCACCTGTAAATACTTTAGCTGACATTAAAGTAACACAATTGGCTGAAGGAAATGCTATTTTTGGTGTAGACTGTTTAAACCGTGGTACTTCCGGTACGTATCCAACTTGTAATTACCTTTCGTTGTAATGATTAGGAATAAACCATTATATATTTTTTCAGATATGCAAGCGCAAAATGTTATCGAAACATTAACGAGTAAAACACAACAGATTCTATTGGCTACACAACTGGTCAAAATGATACTTAAAATCGATGATGTACGTTCGCCAAGCGATGCCAACAGCGGTGCCTAAAGAAAGTTGCAAATTTTTTACTTCGGTACTTCCATTATTGGATTCTTCAACACTTCACCTTATTTGCTTCTTCGAGCTTCATTCACATTTTTAATTAATAACTGTATTAAATTTAGTTAACTTTTTGTTATCAGTATAACTATAATAATTTATGCGACAGCATTGCGATACAAAATAAATAAATCGTTTAACTTTCATCAAAAGTTGCAATATTTTCCTTTTTAATTTCCTTGCTGCTAATATGTACAATGCATTAATTAAGTGGGATATATATTGTTTCCATCAACGATTCCGTTTTATTTTCATTGTAGGAACAAATAGATTTGTCACATCGAGTCAAGGTATAATCGTGTAGACAGATGTTTTTCCTGTACAATCCGAATTATGGGAATTTTGTTTCGAAGGAATTGATTCATAGAATGTATTTATAATGCATAAACAAATGCAATTCGATCAACGTAAGAAACAGAATTTGGTTACATTCTACTAATAAAATGGCACAAAATACAATTGCTTGTACATTTATAAATTATATTGTAATAACCATTATATACCTCTGTCTTCCTCTCTCCTGTCACTGATATCTGTCTTCGATCTATGGAAATAGACATCATAGATAGTCTCTCTCGTATCACAAAATATACAGTCTATCCCAACGTTACTTTATATCTTTCTTGCCTTTCTCTTTTTACACATTAAGTACATCTCCAATAGATTTCATCTATCACATACATAAAGTTCGTGCTTGGAGTTGCAATATTTTGCCACAACTTTCGATAAACTAACAATACCAAGAAACAACAAATTTCGTAAACATCTTTAATCTTCATAACAACGTTTCCGTATTCTTACAATACAGAATTCGGCACTTCGTTTCATCATATATACTTGCATTGTTATATCTTACTATTCTTATATACCATACGTCTAATGTTCTTACCCAATTCAGATGTACAAATTGCAAGTTCCAGCAGAACCTTATTTCAATACCGTTCTTAAGTTTCGACGTACAATCGCTAGATATTAACAAAGAAAATATTTGTCTTAACAAATTTTTTAAATCGAGATTTTTCCACAAAAGAATAGGAATGATATTTCATAAAACATAAATTACATAGGTAAAAAAAAAAAAAAAAAGAATATATAAAATCGATGACCTGCTCGATGCGTTCGTTATTTAATCTGATCAAAGTAATCTAATTCTTTCTTTCCTCCTTTTGTTTCTTCTTTTTCCCTTTTTTTTTTCTTTTTTAATAAGTATGCTATACGAATTTGATTATTCGTTAGACTGTTAACTAAAGTTATATGCACAGCAGGGCGTCTAAGTTTCTCCTTTAGTATGATTACACCTTTTTGAGCATGGGCAAATGAAGTACTTCAGGTATATCGATATCTTCTAACCGAATATCAGATGGATTGAATGGAAATCTCACTGGATATGAGTACATAAGATCCATTAACAACTGAAAGAAAGTATTCTCGTTTAATTATTTTTCTACTAACATAATCAATATATAGAAGTGACTACAGAGAAGTTGAGACTTACTTGTTCGTTGTTTTCACCTCGTTCACTCAATTTAGCTTGGACTTTTTTAATAAATGAAACTGGCACACGCGTTTCAAAATCATCAGCTGGTGTATACAAATTTAGAATTTTTACTATTTGATTTGCAGTCAATTTGTTGCACATATCGCATACAGAATTTACATCCTCATCAGTTTTACGAGCTTGCAAAAGCTGTGCTGCTTGTACAATTGGCTGAAGTGCTTCGGATGCTGGCATTAATCTTCGATCCCTTCCCCATTGTTCTAAGTGACTCAAATTATACCTAAAAGAACAAAACAATGTTGAACGATCAAGCAATCATGTTAAACGAAGTCAGTAAATTCGTGCGAACCTTATCTGCATCCCTTTTGTCCAATGACAAAGTTCATTCCTTAGAAGCAAATTATTTAGAGCACTAGCGCACATAAAATAAAATAATTGTTTGAAAAGTTGCACAACAATCTCAGAATCAACACCGTGATATTGAAGAGTCTTATACACTGAAGTAAGTTCATCTAAAAGTTTATTGAGTTTCTGTTGGGTTGATTCTGGTTCTTCTCCCATAGAAGAGGACCGTGGTCGACCAAGCTTGTTCGAATTTAAGCCTGATATAGCTTCATGTTCAAGAAGGGCAGGTACGGTCAGGGCCTGAATTCTTTCTTTAAGATTCATTACAATGTTATTGAAAATCCAAAGCGCCACGTTGCTCAGTACCACCCGATACTCGCTTAAATCAAAATTTCTGAGACACTGTTCATTCTGTCTTGGAGTATTTTCGATTTGGAAAGGTTTATCTCCGGAATACTGTTTCATATTGTGTAACAACCTTAATGTGTTACTGAGCCATAATACGGAAGAGTCAAAGTCTTCACGTTTCTTAACTACGCGTTTCACAGCATTGAGGTAACCTGTTAATAACAATCTTACTTTTTCATCATCATTTATGCAGTCTGTATGCCTTATACACATGAAAAAAATATAGGCTGGTAGACCAGGAAGTAATGTTACTGCAACTCGAGGTTTTAAGTCTGAAAAAGATTGCAACGGTATAAAAGACTGTCAGAACTTAAATTGTAAAATGTAGAAGTTAATTAAATTTACCGACAATGAGATGACGTATTATTACATTGATATCTTCTTTTCTAAACTCAAACATGCCTTCATAATCTCTCTCTTTCTTTCGAATAGCTGGTAAATTGCTTCCATTATCTGCCGAATTCCCAGTGGAAGACATTATCGCAGAATCGCTTACAGATTCTGCAGTATCCGGTACTGCAAAACAGATATTAGATACTTGTTACGTGGGGTAATCTTTTCTTCTGATGACTATAATATTGAGAATATTTCGGGTGAATGGATCGAGCAATTGTCGACTCGAATAGCAAGGGGATCGAGAGAATGTTTATGATAGATTATCGGTTGTGCGAGAAGAGCAAATGAGTTCTTGGAATGCAAGTGTGTGCAGTGACAATAAAAGGAGGCTGAGAGATGAGAAACCCTCAGTCACGCTGGAGAACAAACGTGTGAAAGTTGACCTGCAACTTGCGTGCCATTGTAGAAGTAATATAATTTGGATTTTACCTTTTACTAAAAATAATTTTAATACGACTGATTTTCCTACATGGCTATACAGAAATGAATAAAAATGTAAACAAGAAAATCAAGGATGTATATAAATAAACGAAGAAACTAAATGACCAGATAGGGGTTGGAATAATAGAAAGGGTTCATATACGAATTTTTGATTATACCTAATGAATGAACGTTAAGCAGTCATACAAACAATAAATGGCTGCTAATTTACAAGAGTTGAGGTGAGTTATGGTCAACATGAAATGCAATGGAAATGAACATGGGACCATCCACTCACCAGCGCCTCTTGATATGTAAGAACGATCCTTATGTTCCTTAGTATCATCTCCCTCATCTTCGAAAGCATTCAAATATTACATAATTTTTAATACTACTTTTTAATTGCTATCTTTGAACAACGATATTTTTGTATTATTAAAATAAACAAGGTAAATTTGAATACTCTTTTGTGGATTTTGTAATCTGTACTTACATCCTGCATCCTTCAAACGTTTCGCAAGTACTCTGCACTGTTTCTTGAATTTTCTGCATTCTTCAGCTATTTTATTGTATTTCTCTTGCAGATCCTGTGTTTAAATTAGTATTATTAATTATTATGTGCACACTTTATTACAGGCAAGTATTAAGATTAGGTTTACCAAATTTTCGGATGTTAGCCTGGCAATTTCGTGTTGCATATATGCCTCAGTCTGAGTTTGTGGCGATTTGCTCAAATTTACGGATAACAATTTCTGTTGCTTCTCAATTTCCTCTTGCAACCTGTCGATTTCTGCTCGCCATTCATCTCTCTGTGATCGCCATCCCTTTTCCTTCATTTGGAGCTCATCTTCCAATTGCCTTCAAGTGGAAACATAAGGAATTATATCTGAATCGCACTCTTAATAGACTTGTTCAATCGAAAGGAAGTAAAAAAGCTAGCACTAAATCATGATGAATAAATAACATATTTAGCAATGAATATTTATCGAGAAAATTCGCTGATTTTGCAAATCGAACCGATTGAACATCATAAAGATCGCTAAATGGATCGCTGATTAATCGCGGCAAAATATCTGCTCAACTCACTCTCTTGAGGCCTTTCGCTTTGTCTTAAGTCTACTGAAAATCGAAGTGCATGCACAAACGACAAAACACGATTAGACACGGAACTTTCCTTCTGTGAAAAGAGATAGCAGATATTTGAAGAAATTTCGAATTACCTGTTGATCTTTTTCTGCGCCTCAAAGGCAAGTACTAACTCTCCGTCCTCGTTTATAATATCCACATCGCGACCATAATTTGAACCTAGGCTCTTCATCCTTCGCGTATTATCAGCCAACACACTGTGCAGTTGAATGCATTCTTCCCGTCTTCTCTCAAGTTCTTTTTGAAGCGCATCAAATTGTCCTAAAATGGAAATTATTTATCGTATTCTATTTCAATCATCTTATCCTTTCTATTTCACTTCTTGTGATTAAAAAAAGAAATAAGGAAAAAGCCAAAAGAATACATTTTTTCTGGAGTCTCTTATTATTTCAAACATTATAAACAATCGTATTACGAAGCAGTATATTATGAACTTTTATTTGGTACAATAGAACCCAAATTGCAACAATTTCAATCATTGCGTGAAAACTGTATTTGTTTATATAGATAACGCGTATTAACACGAATCTCGACATTTGCACGCATTTTCAATTTTGTTTTATATAGCAAACAAAGTTTTATTATTGCAGAGGTGAAAGAAAGCTGTGCATACATCAAGCAGATAAAGGAAAGGAAATGCAGAAGCAAAATTTATAAAGATGCAGTATATTTGTACATCTTATAAACCAAGCTTTAGTCAATAGTACAAAATAAAAAAGTCAAAAATATTGTACACTATATATAAATTAATCGAATACAGATGAAGAAAGAGAAAGCTAATTACAGCAGTCGATAAAGCACGTAGTGGAAAAATTCCTTAGCCATGTAAATTAATAAATTACCCATGAGATTCTGTTGTGCACCCGTTACACCCGAAGACACGCTTTTTCTCAGCGAACCTAAATCTTTTTTTAACTGAGCATTCTCCATTTCCAGTTCTTGAAGCTATGAAATTAAAGAATGATCATTTTAGTATTGTCACTATTCCGTATGAATTATCGATTCGACAACGACAAGCATTTGAAATCACCCTAAATGTATCTTGCATCCTCGAAGATTCTTCAGGGCTATCGCGCTCCAAATCTTCTACCATCCTGATTAATCTTCCCTTCTCTTTTTCAACATCCTTTAATTTCTGTTGAAGCTTTAAGACTAGACCAATATCTACTGGCGCATGTGCCGGTCCATTTGTTTCCGAAGGTGATTTATGTGATTGAATCTCTCCATCGGGTGGACTCTCCGATCTCTGCTGGTTCCAGTCGATCGTTTCCAATCGTGAGTAAGGAGTCGAGGAAGAAGCAGTCGATCTTACTGACCCGTAACCCAAGTCCTTAAAAATCAAAGAAAATGTTAGAAAAATACAATAAATTTAAAAATATTAAAAATATGTAAAAAATAATTTTACGATATTCTGATCATCCTGTGGAAGTTCTGTAGACACAATTTGCCCACTACTGCTAGAAGCATTACTAAGAGAACGCGAATGAGCAGGTGCGTGCATAGTGAGTTTCTGTTCTAGCATTTCTGCATGTTGCTCCAATTCGTGATACTCTTTCAGTAGTTTCTGATAAGCGCCACGATCCTGATCCTGATCCAGTAGGAGTAGATCTTTCTCCTGTTCTAAACGGTGCTTCAAGTTCTCTTCAGCACCGCGTTGATTATTCTTCAATTTCTCACTAGCTACCGACAATTCTTTTCGTAACTTTTCGATCTCACTTTGAAGTTCCTTATTCTCCTGTTCCCTTTCTTGAGTATTTCTCTCTTTATCCTAGATAAGATACGTAAAATTCAGTTTTCCACAAAATTAAAAAAAAATTTGTTCAACAACCTATTACCTGCAAAATGTCCATCTTTTCGTCCCTTTCATTTTTCACTATATCTTGTATCTTTCCTAATTCCTTTTCTTTTTCTATTATTATAGCATTCAATTTTCTATTTTCTGCATCTACAGATTTTAGCCCATCAAGCTTATGTTTCAAGTCAACCACTTCGTTCTGAAAGTTCTTTAATACTAGATTCTCTTTCGTCTAAAAGAGGAAAAGTTTCAACTTTTAATATTGTTGCAAACGATTTTAAAGTATAAAATACATTTTAAAACTATCAATATTTTTAAACGATTAGGACATACAAGTTCAGTGATCTTTTGCTGTAGCGTAATGATCTTCTTTTCTAATCCCTTATTTAGAGACTTTACGTGTTCCACGCTTCTTGCTTCAGCCTTCAATCTTCTAAATACTTTCTTCGCCAAATGCCTTCTAATGCAAGCCTGGACAATGATAATATCGTTCTTCTTCTTCATGCATGCCATTCGTACAAGGTAACCCCTGGCGAATCTCTGAATTACAGTCGCAGCGGCAATGTCTTTCATCAATTTGTATCTTTGTCGCGCCATTTTTCCCCTGCCATACGTTTCAATACCAAGAATTGTGCGCTTTATTTGAAGGTATCGGCGCCTCTTCAACCAACATTTGACACGAGCTTGAATTTTGATCGCTGCCCTTTCTCGCCTCACAGCTTGTGCCTTTTGCCTTGCGATGTACCCCCTACCGTATCTTTGAAGTCCAAGCACAGCGCGCCGAATTTTCTTATACCTACTACGACAAATGAGTCCGCGTACTGTCTTTTGGATCATTATACAAGCATCTCGCTGTCGTTCTGCTCGTAATTTTTCTAAATAGGCTACTTGACCGGCACGAAAAAGAACCTTCGTCTTACCAAATTTAAATTTATCTTCATCCTTGATGTACCTAAAAAGATTTCGCTTATATCACATCGGTCAGAAGGAAATAAAATATACGGTATCCCGATGAAGAATAGAAAATACAGGTAACTGACCTGCTCAATATACGTCGACAAGTTTCCTTAAGGTCGTCCCGTCGTATATCCTTGAATTTACACAAGCTTCTGTACCTGAGGAAGAATTCGCTGTATGTTCTTTGACTAGGAAATCCGGCTGCGGATATTCTAATCGTCTCTAAAACACCGCAAGCTCGTAATTGCTGTACCGCGCGAACTGGATTGTATTCAAAAGCTTCCTTCGTGTCGTTCGGTTTGATACAGCGTACATAATGCGGTGTGGTCGCGTTTAATGTTGACATCAACATGTTCAACGAGTCGCGAAACTGCGAACCTACCTACAGATTTTGTGCAATAGCAAATGTTTATCGAGAGAAATTTTTCACAGGGAGTTGCAATCAATTTTATCTGCCACGAAACTTACCGTTTTCTTATTTTGCTTAGGTGTACTTAATACTGGTTTTTGAGCGGATACTTTTACTCTCACGTTCGATGGTACCATAAGTTTTGGATCTTCCTCGCTGAACAATTTCTTCAGTAACTTGTTCTGAAACAACAAAACGATATGAGCAATTTTCTAGCAATCTATACCACTGCAATTTTCATGTATTTAACGCAGAAATATATTCTACATACATCTCCGTTTCGCAGGACATCAACCTGTTCCTCAATAACGGTGTCTCTATTTTTTTCTAAAAATCCAGTCGTTTCGTATTGCACCAAGTCGGCAAAATGGTGAATGAGGAAGGCAGAAGTTCCGAATCGTGGTTTTTCAAAGTGTTTCGACTTTCCGCACTTGGAATAAAGTTTCTCTGCCCACGAACTATCTGTACCTTTTGGCATCTGTATAGAATAGTTACTTAACGATCATGCAGTTTACCGAATTAACCTTCGAAAGGAATGTAAGATATTACAGACCCTGCACTCCTCGTCCAAAAGATCAAGGATACCCAGTTTCGTTTCGATAAGATCGATGCAGGGTTGATTATCATAGAAATCTATAAAAGTCCATTCGATCTCCTCCCTAAAATACTCCTCTTGCTCTAGCTTGAAGACATGTTGGTTGAATTGTTGTTGAAGTTTTTCATTCGCGTAATTTATGCAAAACTGTTCAAAAGAATTGACTTCGAAGGTCTCGAAACCGTAAATATCAAGAACACCGATGAAACACTGGGGTTTGTTCTGAGATTGTAAAGAATTATTGATACCAGCCACGATCCAGTTGAACAATTCTGCGTAAATGTGTTTCGCCAATGCGTCTCTGGCACCGATCGCTTGCTCTACGTTCATTGGTTTCAGAAACACTTCTCTCATCGACACGATTTTTCTATGGCACAGCCATTTTCGCATTGCGTTTACGTCGATGCCCAGCAACTCGCACATCATTAGAAGATGTTTGTCCGACGACTAAAAACAATAATAACAGTAAGAAATAGGTGCACATCGAGTGTCAATAGATATTGGATGGAAAGGTAGAAGATAATATTTACGTGAATATAACTATTTTCGGTGTCGTTTTCGTTGCTCGAAGCTTGGTGATCAGAATTCCCTATGTTTACGTTTCCTAAATGCATTATGGCCGCTAAAATACGAAGCATGTCGTCCTGCTGCTTGGATGAAAATCCGAGCATGGTAAGCGCGTTTATTGTCTCATCGAAACACACTAAATCGTCCACACCGTCTATCAAGGGATCATTTCCTTGATTTAGGTAGTGGAACATATTCTGATGGCCTAAATGCAAATGTCGAAGACGCGATGCGGCTGCACACATTTGATAAAATATATGATAATTCCTTTCCTCGTATGCCTGGAAAATCATTGAATCACTCAGCGCATTTAAATACACGAATATTCTAATTAGTATACCTGAAACACGACTCTTGACTTCTCGAGGAGATAAGTTCTCATACTGGCCCCGGTGATGTGATAATGTTTGTTAAACTGAATCTCGATGAACTTTCCGAATCTCGAGGAATTATCGTTCCTCGTTGTCTTTGCATTGCCAATGGCTTCCATAATCGGTAACGACGCAAGGACTTTCTTTTCGACCTGAGTTTCGGTCGTTGAACCACCGACGGTAGCGAAATATCGCATCGTATATTTTGCAGAAACAGTTTTTCCCGCGCCGGACTCCCCAGAAACGATGATGGATTGGTCGTGACCTTCCCTGCATAGGTTAACAAAGATTTTAAAAAAACGCAAATGCCATCTATGAGCATACCTCGAATAATTTGCAACGGAGTAGAAAGGAGTTCTCGTTCAACCTTTCCAGTTTCGTATATGCTTCCTCGGCGACGGCGAATATATGGGGTTCCAGATCGCCCATCGCCTGACCTCTGTACGCCCATATCGTGTCGTTTCCGTAAATCGGCAGTTCATTGTATGGGTTAAAAGCGACCAAAACGATACCGCAATACGTGTAAATACAGTGTCGCTGGAAACGAATTTGAAGATTGTAGAGAACAGCTGGCTCGTGAAGAAATGACAACGACGTCAAATTATTCTCTCCTATGAGTATGTCAGGATTCCTCAAGGGTGGTAGATCAGCGTCTGTTTTTATTTCCAAGACTTTCGTTTGATTCGAATCGTCCGTATGGACTTTCAAGGTTAGCTGATTTAATTTGTAATCTTCCAGGAGCACCGCACCTTCCCAAACTTTTTCTGGATGCGGCACCCATACTCTACCATTCTAAAGAACACACGTTCTTCTTCGGTAATTCCATTTTTAGTTTCCATAAAGCAAAACCCGCACATCGACACGGTACTCGGTTCATCGCGATGGCAATTCCGGTGATGTAGTTGCGAAAAATTTGTCGCCCCATGATCGTCGTTTTACAAGTTAAATTTCACAGTTCAACAGTGAAGGATCGCCTCGAGGCACGGCTCCAGGTAGGAAGTGCTTCAACTACACGAACGAGCTTGTACGAGTTAATTACTTAGCGTCTAATTTTCCTTCTTTTCAAAAGCTGACCTGCTTTTCCTTTTTGTGAACAGTACGTATGAAAATGAGGTCGGCGATACAGCATATCGATTTCGACGCCGTGTGAGCCAAATCGAGATTGGTTATCGCGTTAGAACTGTTATTACTTTTTAACCGCAAACAGGGAACCACTCTATCGTTGTAATTAAAATAATTTGGCGACCAGAAATTTATCGATCTACGAGCGAACTTTATTCGAAGAAACACAGGTATTTCAAACTGTGCCTGGAACCTGGCACTGAACTAATACAATTTTCCCATAGAAGAAGAAAGAAATCCGTTAACGGTATCAACCGAGTGTTTTTTTGAACGTGTCTCATGATCATACAAATGAGACACGAAATACCAAAATGTACTGTTATCGAGCACGGTGCACAGACAGAAGAAAGATTACGTGATCTGGAGAAATATCGAGCAACGGTAAAGTTCACCGTCTCTTTGAGCTGCTATTTACATTGTCGCATCAGTGACGATGCGATGTCAGGAACTGGATAAAAATATTACTGAAAACAGTGAAATGTACGATCTAGAGCAGAGACACATGTACGCGCCAACTGTGCCTAGAAAGAAATGAAAAGTAACCGTGAACTCTCACGATTCAATCTTGTACGTCAACTACGTATTATGCAAGACATCATTTGTAGGACATGAAAAGAAAAAAAGCAAGGAGAAGATGAACATGCAAATTCAAAGTATACGCGTGTATTCAATTTACAAAATCGTCGATATTTCGATCATACTATCGCTATGATTACCGAACCAATAACTACAACTTTCTCGTAAATTGGAACACTTTTTCCCACATGAAATTATTGACGTTACGATTAACCTCGAAACTGTGAACATCACCGTGTTTAAATGTCTAAGTTCAGCCATAAAATGTGCACTATAATTCAATAATGATTACTAACGTTGCGCTTAGCGCAGTCGTATTATTTTTACGTTTCGAGGTTAGTCGATTGCTGATTTTGCAGTCTTAAATCGCCCAATTACGAATTCGCCGGTAAACGCATCTCTGCGAATTAATAAATTTTACGATATACTGCACTCTTAGCATATATATCTCTCATGAACCGAAACGGAAGGAATTCGATAATATATCGAATTACAAGGTTCCAACAGAAGCAACGTGTCATTAGAAAACTAGTATTACGGAGCATTTTAATAACAGCGAATAGTAAATTGGCTAATACATACTTTCTCTAAATTTATTCAGGAAGTCTTGAATATGTAATCGTTTTTATTTCTCGGAATGCAGATAGTCCATAAATCGCAGATTTTATCGCTCTAATACCAATAAATCCTACCCTTTCTCTTTTGATGAACGTTTGATGGTTGACTTGATTTGACGAAGTGTACCAAAGAAATAGTTCCCATGCTTTCTACGTTACGTACCAAATAACGATTACTCCCCGAAGCCTTACTCACGGAAAGGCATAGAAAAAGTAGAATCCTACCGGGTTCCCACACAGCTTGTTAATTGAAAAGGTGGTCAGAATGAGAGTGAACTGCATGCTGCTGAGCCTACACGCGACAATCGGTAAGTATAGTTTAACAAAAGATGAGAATATCCGACCTGCTACTTCCCCTTCCCGCATATTTTGCGTATTAATTAGCATTCTCCCAACCTCCACTTCCCTCGTAACTCTCGCGAAATTACGTAACTCCTAATTAGACACACGAATCTGCAATTTTCATTCGCGAATATCTCGCATCTGTCCTGGCTGATATTCTTATCGAATTATAAATTATGGCAAAGTATTATTGTACCTCTCGACTAGATAAAGAGATAAATTCGAAGATACTTCTGACGTACTTCAGGGTCGTATTGCACAAATATAAGGGAAGCTTTGGCGCCTGTGTAGATGCAGTCCACTCACATGTTGTGTCTGAGCTTTGCCAACCGACCACCGATCTACGGCTTCTGTCGCGTTCCATCCACCACTCGTTTCAATGTTCATACTACGCAATTTTTTACCACATTCTATGATACTAAAACCTAAAACTTCGATATTCTTCGTTACATTAACGACAAGTTAAATGTAAAACATCGAACGATACGTGAGTTTATAACAGGGGCCGAAAAATTGACCGATTTCCACGTCGACGTTACTTTATTACACGCGATTAAAAAATTTCCTTCCGTATTTAAAAGCATTTTTACGTTCGCGAATAACGGTGACAAAATTTCGCGATTACGAAGATCGAATTACTCGTGTATCGAATTATTTACAATACTACGTACAGGAAAGAGGAGGATAAAAGCTATAATCTTATCTGCAGTCGCGAAGCCACTCCAGGATGAATCATTTCGCCACTGATTCCACCCACAAAATACAAACAAATATGACGGTCATGGCAAAAGAATATAACTCGATGAACTCGTTTTCGAATGTTCGCTTATTGATCAAAATGAAAGCTAAGGACAGCGGAAACCTTTCTCTTGAAAATTAAGACCCTAACGTAATAAAGTAAGACAATTGACGTAAATATATATTGGTAATGCAGATGCGCTCGAAATTACGGTAAGTCATATTCACGTTCTACGCCGTCTACGTAGAACGTAATTTACGACTGCACTTGATCGCTTGTTCAACGCGTCGCGAGTAACATTCGCTACCATTGTTAAGGTAACATTCGTCGACGATTACGATCAACTTCGTGGACAATCTAAGCGAGAGCGAACTTTAACATTTATGACAGAATGTTGTCCACGATTGTATCAAGGCTTAAACATTATTACGCTTTGAGCGGTGTATTCAAAATACATTTAGAGCATCATGCTACACATGGAAACCGCTTGACGTAGTGTTTGTCGTTGCGAGATCGATCGTCGTAGCTCGACATCGTTGCTCCTGAGAAAGGTGCCGGGTTCTCCGTTATTGAGAATAACCGGGTCAAGTTTCCCGCCTACGTATCTATACACATTTTCTTTTTTTTACCACGTGCGTTGAAATTGACATCGCTGACACCACCGGCCTGACACCGTGTCGCGTGCTCCCCGAGTTCCCAGCTAAGTTTCCCTTTCAATCTTTCCCCCGCGATCAACGCGAAACGATTAATTTTCACTTATTCGTCCAATATCGTATCGCTAGTTACACGTGCGGTATTATCAAGTTCAATTACGAAGCAGACAGCGTATAGCGCGGAGGACAGTGTAAAGTGGAGCTATAAATGCAAATCCAGACGCGGTTTTCATCGAGCGGAGTTTACAAGCGTGAGAATCTGAGCTTATACTTTCAACGGTGACCCTGTTGAGTAAGATCGCGAAACGGGATACCTTCGTGGGAAATTGCTACAAGGAATCCTCCTTTTTCACGGAGGCTGCACAAAAGGGCGGCAATCGCAACGTGTTTATCCGAGCGACAGTTTTATTCTGGATTATATCGTCGTGTGGCGATATCGCGATCGCGAATCGATTAAAGTTCGCTTCGCGTTACGCACCGTCGAAGGTTCGACCAGCGATTTGGCGATTGCGGGAAAAGCGCGGTGAAAGAACGGGCAGAGTTTCTCTTTGAACTCGTGACACGCGAAACAGCTTATTAGTCGTGGGCACGGTGACAAATTCGAAAAGAAATCATCCTTGACCTTTACGATAAAATCTCGCGGAACACGGGATAAGAATCCACGGTAGTACCTGCCTCTCCTTGTGACGAGGCACGAAGAAGCAAGGAGAACGACCTATTCCAAGACGCTTTGCTTTTCTGTTCCGAGAGAAAGGGAACTGCTTGTTCGTAAGCTAAGTCTAGCGATCACGTTCTTCGAACTGATCGTGCGAGCAACAGTTTCGAATGGGGTTAGCTTACCTTTAAATGTAAAGGTGCGATCGAGACTCTGGTTAGAGTTTCAAATCATTGCATAATATAATTTCATTATTTCCTTGTGCCTCGAACCGGCTGCCGTCGTACCTAGACGACATTCTATTTTATTATGAGTTCGCCTGTCACGTACAAATGTGTCGAAACTGGTTCATAAAAGTTGATTTCTCGGTATTACGTAATTTACTATCACAACGAACTGCTTTGACAGAACTTTGGGACGGTGTTCCTGCAGATTTGCCTTTCCCGATTCCCGTCTGTTAATTGTAAAACTCCGAGACCATTCGCGAGATGAGTAAATCAATACGTACGTTCTGTACGAGCACTACTCAGTTGTCCCTGAGTTTAGCAATGTTTACTGAGATACAACGTACGTTAAGGATTACGAATATATCTCGTGCCATGCTCCTCTCCTTTTCACTGGTTAAATAACAAGAAAATGACCCAAAAATAAATACCATTGAAGGAACGACAAAAATTGCGATACGACCTCGGACAACCCTCGCAGTTCACTTGACCAAAGCAATAAATCAGCTAAGATGGAGAGCCACGGTACGACCTTAAAGGGGCAGGTTCTGGCTAGATTAAACTCTGTTCTCATCGACCAAATATTCTCTCAGTATCGCTCTTCTGCATTCGTCGTGCAGTTTGTGTACGACATTCCCACAGCTAATAACGCAGGTGAATTAATTACTAGCCAGTTTAGACCGCCGTGTCCCAGTTTTTATACTTACGTAGCGATAATTCCTTTAACATAATTTCGCTTTTCAAGTTACGTTCCTTCGTGCATCGGAATTTCGTCTCTACCATACTAATTTCGCGTCGGTAATATCCGCGATTCGTTTCAGACTCTGCAGTCGGTATTTCATATTCGCGAACATCTAGTACAGATACGTGGACGTAGCCGATCTCTTGCTAAAAGGTGCTTCATTCGTGTACAACAAATGCTATCGTGATCGTTGATCTAATGGTTGGCTCAATCGCGGCACTTGGTTTTAAAGCGAAATTTAGGTCTTGAGCCTCCGAGCTTCCTCTCCACAATTATTGATTTTTGTTTTAAGAAGAACTTTGCCTGGATTTTAAACTCGTTCGTCCCTCGTTCTCCATTATTTTCGCTCGTAAACCGGAATTAGAATTCGTATTATTCGTATCGCGGAATATTTCCATCTCCTGGCGTAAGAACGTAAAGCCTCGAGTGTTGTCTCGTAACGTAAAAGTCCAAAGAAATGGACACCTTTCGTGAAAGTATCTAAGCATAATTTAAGAAAGACACCTTCACTCGAACCGATGATGTACACTTCGGAACTAAGCGAAGCTATATATCCCATGATTTTCTCAAACAATTAACCTTGCGCATCAGCGACGTAAAAGAAGAAAGTCTCGTGGAATTTTACAAAATAATACTCAACCTCTGCTGCCTTGTTTCAGATTTCAATCGCGTACTTTGAAACCTTTCGAACTTAAATAAGCGTAATCAATATCGCGTTTAAACGAATTCATGTAAATTAAAACAGGAACATGATATCGTGTACAAACTGAAAATCGATAGAATCCCAGTCAATCTGCTTGCGCTAAATATTTATCCTGAAAACGAACGATGTTGCACGATTTCGAGTAAAAAAGCCCCGAAGAAGCAACGAAAGTTACTGCCTTTTACAAAACCTTCGTGCCTCCCGTGGTAAAAATTTCACATATGTTTACACAAGCTTTACTCCAACGTATTTACTCGAAGACCTTCTCCGTTCCTTTGCCTTAACAACGGGACAAACTCCCGAATATTAGAATGAACTTCGTGCAATATCATCAAAATAAATACAACCCAGAGCTACGAATATTCACGAGACATCGAAGACCAAAATTCTCTTTGCGATTCGACAACCATACGACAAACTCTCTGCACTTTTTTTTGAAGCAGTAAACTTGATTCGCTATATTTTGCGCGATAATGTATACTCATTTGTCACCACTGAAATTCGTATACGATTTTCTTCCTCGTACCGTTCGGTAATGGAAGAGATCCTTCACTCTTAACTCTAAGAAAGGTTTCGTAAAATGGCAATTGTAAATGTCAACAGACGAACTGGTCACAATGTTACTAAACCAGTTGCCATCGTAGAACTGGAACAGAGTACCTGCGATGGCCCGAGTATCTGAACTGGTTCATACCTTCACGTATAACTCCCTTGTAGTCATCGTTGTTGGTCCAGGTGCTCACCTGGGTCAGGTCAGGTACAAGCGAGGAGAGCAGCACCCACAGGCACACACGATTTCACTCACACACGCACACACCTGAGCACAGATAAGAATACCTACGACATTTGTCGTCCAATCAAAAGTTATACGTGCTACAAACACAGTGATTTCCCTTCGACTGTACGATACATCCTGATGTCACCTGAGGTGCGGTCACGGCATGTTTCTGTTTTTATTTTTTCCCTCTTCTCTATTTTCCTTATTCTCTAATTCCCTTGCTGTGCCTCGTTTCGATTAGTAGTCACCGAAAACCGATGGATCACAAGTACAATAACAAGAATCACAAGCACGGCTTTAACAGTTTCCAGCTCTGTCACACTACCTCTATCGTTTTACAAATTTTCCCCTTTAAATCATCGATAGGAATTAAATGGAAAATGAATTTTCGCGAAGGCCGTACTTCCACGTAAACGTCGTACGACGGCACTGCCACCAGCTGGTTCGTTATCGGGTTTAGATTCGGCGCCCCTCTTCGTCTCCTTGCACGACAACTACTCTTCGGCTTTCGGGCCGAAGTGACCTTCCCTTTCCTCGTTCTTTGCATTCGCACTGCCTTTTGCCATCTCTCTTCGACGATCGAACTACGAGTTCCGCGCCATCTCGCGAGCAAAGAATCAAACGAACCGTCGATTCTCCCGCGTCTTCCACACGGTATCGTAGTTCTGGTGCAAATTTCTATTGCACGAGTAATTGGTAAATTAAAATCATTTCAACCTGCCAAATTTATCACGAAATATCACTGCTGGAAAATAAATCGTATAATGACAGTCTTTCGTTAAACTGGAACCGAATATTACGTTGGAACTTATGTCATTCCGTGAACACGATATTAACCATTTCCTTCTATGATACGTTATCGGCATGACAGATACTAAAATACGAATAATCATTTTGAACGATGCTTTTACTGTCGCTTTGTTTAGATATTGCTTTTCAGTAAGGAATATATATTACACAGCGCTGTTAGACATTTAATTTAATATTATTTTACATAAATAAAATATCAGGGATGCTGTGTTTTCCTTGCATTAATTAAGCTTTATATAAAACAGAAATATCAACTATAATATTTTTATTGCCTGTAAAAGACGAATGACAAATTTGTCTTATAGGCATAGGTGGCCTACATTCTGAACCGTTATCAACGAGGATACCAAGATTTTCATACATTCCCTAATTCTTAATGTCAATTTAACGGTAACGCCATAGCTTTAGTAGTACATGCCGTATATATACGCGGTATAAGTATGGAATATACCTATCATCATAGACGGCGTATAGACTAGCATTAACATTATGTGTATTTTATCAATTCGATTCCTGTTGACTCTAGAGCTCTTACCATTTCCGTATCACTCCCAACGTTACCGACAGAGTACCGACACTGATCACGCGGTGGGAATTACGATGAATTTAAATGAAGCATTCTAATACGTTTCTGGAGTAAAAATAAACGATGATTTACGAGAAGCATTATTGCTAACAGACGATCACGAGTATCACGAACTTATGTGCAACTAAATGATACCTCTAAAAAGGATCAAAATAAGTAAGAAATTATACAAATTAAGAACTTTATTACATCAAACGTAATAAATTTATATTTAGCAACGTTTGATTCGATCAATTAAAATTCTGAAAAGCAATGTACCAAAATAGTTAAGACTAATTTAGAAAATATGTGTACTATAGAAATATGCCTCGCACGAGTCCTATTGCACATTAGTTCATTAACATTCGTGGTCAGTGTGTTCGCTACGAAAATAATAACGTACAACCAATCACCCAGGTTCGTTTCGCACCATTCGTCCTACGACACGATGGGTGACCGGAGGAATCATAAATCATGCGACTCACCAACCGTCGAACGCGCCATTCTATCAAAACAGCTACAATCGACAGTCGGCCTCGTCCTGATATCAGCTCGGCGATGACCTTTCCTCGCCCTGACTTCAGTGTGCCGCAGTCATTGTAACTTCTATCCTTCCCTTGAAATTTTTTCAAGACACTCGCGACAACGCGAACACGCGAACATATACTATGCGTTCCAGAGAAAAAGTACTTTCTTCTGCCGACATCGAATACGAAAACGTACACGTAATCAGGCGAACGAACACGTAAATCGTTAAATTTAGTAACAATTATAATAAAGGAATACAAAATTTAAAATGTGTTACAATCTCGTAAAAGCAGAGAAATAATGTAATTATTATTGGAATATTCATACACGTAGATCACTATTATTAATTATTATTACCACTTTGTATAAATAATTATTGCAAATAATAATCAAACAATTTTAAAATTGGCTACTAAAAAATGAAATAAAATAACAAACAAATTATTTAAATTGTTTAAAAATATTATTTATACAAGTTAAATAATATAAGTGAAATGAATGTTGAATATTAAAAATATTACTATTAAAATAAATTGTTAGTAGTTTTATTTTATCTCGTTAATACTTGTTATATTTATACAAATATAATTTAAATTAATTATCATATTTATTTAATTCCAATTACTTTAAAGTAGTTAATTCGGTTAAATTTACGACATGTTCCTCGCGAAGGCAAAAGGACAAATAACTTGCTGCCTCGATTCTGTGTTCCTTATATAGGTAGCGAGGCAACCTTGTCAAGGTCACACAGAACTTCTCGACTTATACATATAATGCAGAGAGTAATATTTCAGTTATTATGGCTAATAATTTACTCACTTTTATTGTAAATTTATATTTTGGGTAGTTTGTTATACACTTACGCGTGCACACGTACGTAAATTCTCCTTGGCTTCAATACTACTTTCAGAAACGGTTCTTTAACTGGCCGTTGTTTACGAATAGAGGACACTACGATCACTCTTACATTACTCGATCGGTAAGGCAGATCAAGGTGAGCCATAAAAATCTTTACAATGTTAAATTTATTACATACCTCTTCTGTGCTGTTAAACCTATTCTATATCGCATCTGTGATTTTAATATCCCATTAAAATGCATAGAAGTAGGATTTACACATATCCAGGGAATAATGCAATAAATATATTTTTTAAATATACGAAACCGTACTTGTGGAATATTACTTTTACATTTCTAGGATATCCTTGGTATTATAATTTGAAATCCCAGTTGCTATTAAATATCGGAAAATTAACTGGTCTACATAGACCGAGTTTAAGTTATCTAACACTATCTAACACAACGAAAATAAATAAATAGAAAATTTGCTATAATATTAATACTTGTCCTCGACAGTTATTGTGACAAAATTGATTATGTTATTTAACAGGATCATATTGTGCAATGTACGAGGATTTCTTTCCTATTCATTTTATTCATTTTTTATTCATTACTCACTTTGTTGCAATTTTGGCAATTTCTTTGTTCGTCATCAATTAAATGTGACCGTCTTCTTAGTCAATAATCACAATCGGTGTGAATGGAGTCATCTTCATTACCGTTTGACCAGGTGTCTTCTCTTGCTCATGTACCCTTGCAATTTGTTGGATCCATTCCTTCTTTTTCGTCTTTACATAATATCTATATGCACGATGAAAATAATCTGATTGTACCAAACTATAGTACTAGTGATGATACCAATATATTACTCAGTTCAGTAGGAAGAAAAAAAGAATAAAGTCGTGCCTCTATAAACAGTACGTGCTATCCATACAATTAACCATAGATTATGTAATATAGTTGGAGTTAGTTCTAGCGAACAGAATGATTTACTAATGTTATATAGACGCGTCTGTAATGGCGTTTTTCCAATTAGTTCTAAAAGCTAATAAGCTAGAAAAAATAAGGCAAAGTTACGAGGATGAGAAACTGACGTCAATCGAGATCGCAAAAGGTGCGAAGAAGCCTGCATACACGTTAAAGCAGCGAATTCGTCGAAGAAAATTATGGTTAGGTGAAACCTCGAGTAGTCGATAACTTCGATATTTTTACTTCATTCTATCTTTGAAAACTCGATCCAGGTTCAAGAAGAAGGTCAAGCATTTCTTTAATAAAATTTTCATCATCCGGAAGGCTTCTTGGATGTATAAAAGAATTGTTGCGACACGTACTGATGGCACATTGGAGAATTACATAATAAAAAGTTTCCTAGGATTTATTGGTGGAATATTGTTAACATACATCTTCTTCATATTTTTCGTTTTCCAATTGAACTTTAAGCTCTCATCTGCGACATTCGTCTGTACAATAATAGGAGCAATTCTCACTATGGGTCTCGCATTTTCTCCCCGAGTTCGGTATAGCAAACATAGAGACATCCTAATCTCGTAATCATCGTAAACTCCTTCAATATATTTCACTTTTCGTCTTATTTCAGATGTATCGTACTCTTAGTGTTGCCACAATTCTTCTCTAAACGAGGAAGGCAAGCCTTGATGGCTTATGCGTTTATTTTAGCTTTGACAGGGCCAATGAAAAACACTTTGCACAACATCGGTGTACTTTCGGAATCCTTAACTTGCGCACAAGTACGCTATGCCATCTAGTGTCGTTAAATACCTCGTTTCCGATTATGGAATGTACGATCAGTTATAGATTTTCTTAAAGAAAGTTTACACCTTAGGAACAGCTAAAGGAAGCGGTGAAGACTGTCATAGATTTAGCGAAGCAGCCATTTTACGCTCTACGAGAGGCAATATCAAAGGTCATAAGAACTATCAAGGCAATCGTGAAGAAAATCAAGCAAACTTTAATTGCAATTAAAAGACTCGTTCTGAGCATACGTAACTATAAATTCGACATAATTAAATAATATGTTAAACATTTTGTAAGCTGCGTATTTTATTCGAATGTTTCGCATTCCAGTTAAAGTTATCACATCGGTATTTCAATGGCTCGGAAGTATCATAAACATTTGTAACAAAAAGTTGGGCACTCCTTTCGACAGGTGCCAGAACGTCTTCGAAGGTGCGATCGCAGATTGCAAAGCAAAATTGGGCCCATTTTTCGGAGTAATTTGCAATATAACTTACATAGTTAGTACCCTCTGCTACATAGTGAAACCACTGGATTTCATTTGCATGCTCGTTTCATACATCGCAGACAGTGTAGTTGGCGCTGTACGAAGTAGTAAGTTCTCTTTGTCGAAATTCCATTCAGTGAATTGTACACTGCGATTTGTAGGAATTCAGAAATTTACGATGCACATGAAGGCAATGTTCTACGTTAAAGTTAAGTTCTCTCATTCGTTTCACTTCGAAACGAACCAAAGCAAAACGATAGAAGAAGTATCTACGAGTATTACTAAAGAGATACGCTCGAGGACCGACAAGCTCTTTGGATTCTTTGACTGGATGAGTTTCGTTACATCCTTCTTCGTTTTCTTCATTTTACTTAGGTGAAATAACGCAATGACTACATCCATAAGACTGACAACCAATTATACGCACATTTCTAGAGTAATGCGTTATCGCTACAAATGGTTAACTAGCGAGCGTTTCGACAATCGATATATAACCAATGACCTACGTACCATCGATTTGATAAGAGCGCGTCAAGACAAAGAGACAGTTTTGCCACTAAATTCACGAGAACGGAATAAATATGTACCATTGACTTCTGTTATATTGATCAAATCCGAAAGGATTCAATTGGCAAGGTCTATGGTATTTTTAAGCTTGAACACGATAAATCTTATCACCTACATGTCGATGGATTATAGTCTATATTGGGTACTACATACTATCCAAATATACGGACGATTTCGAAGTAAGGTAAAGCAGCGAACTATGTTGTCACTGTAATCTCATATAGTGATGTAATACTGCAATTCTTAGGTGGAACGATCAAGCGTGGTGACCATGCACGTATCAGGAGATGGGTATTTGGCTGAACTTTACAAAAGTATCGTGAAAGCATTCACCCCTCACGGAAAAGAAGCAGAAATCAATACGATGCTTTGCCTCCCGGATCCTGTGCCTCCTGACTTGGATAAATATACTCAGATCGTTATTATAATCCTCTTTTGTTGGCTAATAGCAGTCTTTGAACCTTATGGTTTGCGACTGAGACAAGTGGTAATGTGTCAGTATTATCCTGACAGGGCGAAGCAAAGAGCAACGTGGTTGTATAATTACATCATCAGGTATACCAAATTTTCGTTCTTGTTTCGAGCATTCGATTTATTGTCATTTTTATATACAACCAGATCAAGAGGTAGCTTTTTAAAGTTCGCTAGACGCCAGCTGCGCAGGAAATTCGGTCTAAGCGAAGGAGAGAAAGTCGAGAAAGTGACTTTAAAAGAGAGATTATGGGCTATGTGTCCATTATTGAATAAATTGTTTCCACTGAAACAAACCGTATGTCTTCTATGTGGCGCAGTTGAACGCTTTGATCATAATCCACACGTTAAATGTCCGACTCCTGGTTGCATTGGTCTATTTTGTGCCCAGTGTTTCGCAGATTTGCAAAATTTATGTACTATTTGTCGGTCACCGATGGACTATGGCGACTTGTCCGATATGAGCGAGGAGAAGTAAGTCACTTAATGATAAAAACACTAATTCCATGTATCAATGGTTACTACTCGATGGCAACTCTTAAAATATTAGAGATTCGTCGGAGGATCAATTCGAAATTCCAAAACCTATAGGACCTGTGATAAAGGAAGGGGAACTAAAATTGGAAGAAGGAGATAAGCCGGTAGAGAAAAAAGATGAAGAAATAATAGAAGAAGAAAAAGAAAAAGAAGAAAAAGAAACAGAAGTATCAACGGAAGAAGAGGAAGAAGAGAAAGAAGCAGAAGCACCAACAGAAGAAGAGGAAGAAGAAAAAGAAACAGAAGAACCAACAGAAGAAGAGGAAGAAGAAGAAGAAGAAGAAGAAAAAGAAACAGAAGCACCAACGGAAGAAGAGGAAGAAGAGGAGAAAGAAACAGAAATTCCAACGGAAGAAGAGGAAGAAGAAAAAGAAACAGAAGAACCAACAGAAGAAGAGGAAGAAGAAAAAGAAACAGAAGAACCAACAGAAGAAGAGGAAGAAGAGGAGAAAGAAACAGAAATTCCAACGGAAGAAGAGGAAGATGAAGAAGAAAAAGAAACAGAAGTACCAACGGAAGAAGAGGAAAAAAAGGGTTACGTAAAACTATTAAAAATGGAAAAAGACGTCGCTGAACAGACAGACGACAAATACCTAGAGGACACAGATCCAAGTACCGAATCTACATACAGCTACAGTAAGAATTCGAGATATACACATTACTTGAAGTATACAAGAGTTACAGGTTTCACTGATGATCTCTTATCTCAGCGTACCAAGAGGAATCCCCGGAAGAGATAGAAATTGAGAAACCGAGGAAATCATTCAAAGACGTGGAAGCGCAGAAAATAAAAGATGATGTAACGATTCAAGTGCGTTTCGATACGATGCGATAGAGTATATATCCGTTGACTATATTTTTGACGCCCTTTTCCTTTCTTGGTAAAACGTTATTTCGTGTTCAGATATTTAATCAACCATTTGTAAAAGAGCCATCATCGAGCAGTGAATCGCCGACTTCTTCTTTCGTTGTGAGAGCGCATAGAAAAGTTCGTGCCAAATTAAAGAAACCACCGGCAACCAGGGCGAAAGATTCCGATTCATCAACTTCGATCGGCGACACGGAATCCTTGTCGAGCGAGAAAGTCGACGAGGAAGAAGTAATACACATAGAGGTAGACGACGGCTTGGAAGAATTACTCCCGAAGGATTATGGGAATAAGAAGAAACTGGGTCGTATAAATAGAATCGTTGATGCAGTTGCGAGAATTCCTTGGCTCGGTAAAGAGGAAGTATGAACCACTCTAAGTCCATCGAATTTTTTCACACTTTCCGACCATTATTCTTCCCTGCACTTGTGAAGTTTCGCTAATTTATTATTTATTGATTTATTATTTTATCAGAATAACGAGAAGGCACCCGAAGGATTACGAAGGAAACGTCCATCGCTTATGAACAGAATTGTCGATATGCTCCATAGAAAACAATCCCTGCCCGTACGATCGTATAGAAGAAGTAGAAGAATAACAGATTCTTCGTCTTGCTCTTCCTGTTCGTGTGACGATGAAAACGAGAGCTTATTGGACAAAGAAGACAGAGATGTTGGTATTACATACTTTGCTAGAAACAAAAGTAGGAAAAGATCCACGAGAGGTAATTATGATGACAATCTGACTGGGAAGGTTCTATGCGAAAGAAAGTTCACCACGAAACCATTACCAAGGTAATTTCGTATTAAAAAAATAAACAACTATTATTTTGTATAAATTTACTATAAAATAGGTATTTAGAATCCGTTGCAAAAGGGACATCTTATTACGAGCTTGACGAAACCAAAGGTTCAGGAACGCGAACATGTGTTCGTCAAGTAGAGAACATCAACGAACTGTCAGACATAAAAGTACCTATTAGAGGCTAAACAGAAATTCGCATACGACGTAACAGAGTTTAATCGCAACTCATCGCGAAGTGCCAAAAATTATGAAAAATTATTTATTTCTCCTAGGGTTACTGTTCTTGCACTTCGGAAATTACGTATCAAGGAAACGAAGACGAAGACGTTTATTCGTTAGATAAGAGTACTATGTTGGGACAGACAGATCTGAAATCAGAAACTACTAATGAAGCAGGGATTCAGATTGTATCTAAAAGTGACACAGGTTATACGAAGGAAACGGAATCCACGATAAATATATCGAAACCACGGAAAAATATGAAAGGCAACTTTTCTGATAACGTAAAGTCGAAAGGTTTAAGGAAAATAAATGATCAGGAGACAGAATTGGAAGAGGAAGTGAATGAAAACGTACTAAAAGACAAAATGGAATCTCAAGAAGAATCTGCGACAATTTATACGGAAACAGATAGCTCTCCATTATATAATCCATTTGCAGGTACTATTCATAAATTGCGTAAGAAAATTACGCCTATTATGAAACCTGGTATTTTAAAAGAAAAATTTAAGTTATCGAAAGAAAATGAGAAAGTTTCCGAACGAAATCTTAAAATGTCGAATGAGAAATCTAAAATTGCAGAACAGAATCGTACGACAAGCACAGAAAAATCTATGATTTCCGAACAGAAAATCGATAATAATAGCGAAAAGATATTGACCAATCAGAAATCTGCAGGCAGAAAAATTGATAAAAGTACGGATCTACCAGATAAAAGCAAGTACGTTCAAGCAAAGTTCGACAAACATGATAGGAAATATAAATTTACTGATCAAGATACTAGAATGTCAGACGCAAAAATGTCTAATAAATTATTTGAAGAGTCGAGTAAAGGAAGGAAAAGAAAAAAGGAAGATTTGAGCAAGAAGAAGGATAAGAAAAGGTAAGTGACATATGAGCAAACTATGATTCCTTTGTGACGTAATAATTAATATTCGTCAGATGCAAATATGATCGTGTTAAACATGGTACTTCGAAACGAAGGAAATGTAGCTGTTCAGAAAAATCAACGTTCACCGAAGATGAAGAGATTTATTCTTCTGAATACAAATTGAAGACAAGTCGATTCGATACTGAAACTACTGAAAAAGCAAGTGGTAGTGAAGACTACGAATGTGAATGTCATCTAGAAATGAAACAAAGATTCGACATGCCTGTGGTAAAAAGATATTTACCAATGTATCAGAGTCCACAACTGATCGAAGAGTTAAAAAGGCATGATCGAATGAGATTAATTCGGGAAAACGAAACTAGGACACGTAGATTTGGAAGTTCTTTTCGATCTTCAGATTCTATCTCAGCAAATACTAAAATGAGAAATCAAAGAAATCCTACTTTGCCAGATGATACAGTAAGTATTAAAATCGGTTCTGAAACTGAAATCGAAATTAAATATCTATTGAATTTTATAAAAGAAAGAAAAATTATTCCTTTTTAAGGAAAGAATAATTAAGGAAGGCTATGAACTCCCTTACCAGAAGGTGCAGACTTACAAGAATGTTTTACGTGAATTGAAAAAGAAAGTCGGGGCCCAGAAACGTGATAAAGAACCTGAAAATAGTGTACCATTAATACGTTTATCTCCGAAATCACACAAAAGTAAAATGATAAAACAACTGTATCCATCACAAAATCAAACTCAGAAGAAAACGAATGTTGTAAAAAAGTTCGCTGATAAAATAATAACACCACTCAAGGTAACTTGAAACGTTTACATAAATTAATACACAAATTATTATTTTTTAATAACCTGTTTTAGCCATTTAAGAGTAAAAGACATAAATACAAGGTGCATAAAAGAAAAACAGGGTCTAAAGAGATAGGAAGCATATGTTACGATTGTTCGTGTGATGCAGAAATTTTGAGCGAAACATCCTCTACTTGTAGTTGCCTCAAAAAGACACATAAATCTGATATTTCAACATCTACTGACGAATTAACAGATAATAATTAGTCAACATAATGGATAAGTAAAAATAATATTTTTTCATCCCATAAGAATATTTGATCCGATATTTGCTTTTATATTTTAATTACCAAAGCAAATTGTACCATAATTGACATACTTCATAACGTTAATTGCCACAAAATTACTTTCGACTGTTTTAAATTTCACATATTCTGTTAAAATGTATAACCTTTAATGTAAAAGTTTATAAAAAGGTAGTTAATAATTATGTATCCGAAATAAAGTAAAATTACAGTTTCGTGACAATAAACGAATTTCGGCGATGTCGAAGGAAACGCAGAAATTTCTTCAAAAGCGAAGAAGAATCTGTTCGGAAAATAACGTAAAATTTGACAAAGACAAACGTAGAAGAAAAAAGTAGAGAAAATATACAGCTGAATTTTTGTTGCATATAAAATGGTGCGTAACAATTCGATCGAGCATAAAAAGAAGAAACCAAAACTGGAATCATTGGCAAAGGAGAGCGATGAATCGACTTTAACACAAAAATCAAAAGAATTTGCAAAACATGCCGAAATAAGTATAGGTCATCCACTTCACAGCGCAAAAGCGACTAGCTTTTCCCCTCTGTCGTCAACGGATACATCAGTGCACGCTGACTCTCCAATCCTAACTGCAACGCACCTTGGAAGTCAAAAAGTTTGTCATTCGAAAAATGAGAAGGAAATGTTACAAACGTGTGTAATAGAAAAAAGGGGCGAATTTAAAGATGAAATTAAAAATGATAAAAAGACAAATTTGGATACGGATGAAAGTTGTAATGTAAAAACTTGTCCGATGGAAGTATATAGTCGCGAAATTTGTGGAACCCACCTCAATACGTCCATTAAGCATGATTCAGAAGATAAAATCAGTCCTATGATCAGTCCTATAAAATTGACAGAAATGATTAATACCTCGATTAAAGAAGCCATGAAGACTATCGTGAAACAATGTAGAATGGTATTTAAGATGCAAGTATCCAAGATACTTCCATTTTTTTACAAAATTTTTAAGTTTGTACGTAAATAATATAAAAAAGATAATTTTCTCGATGTAAAAGTATGTTGTACATTTAAAAAACAAACAGGGAGAAGAACGGGATCTTGATAAAAAGTCGGAAAAAGATCTCGTTGAATCAGTATCTCGCGTCAACAAAGAAGCAATTCCAACAAAAGTCAAACAGCCACGTGTGACACGAAAACAGTTTAATAACCATTCGGGAATCTCAAAACCTGGTACGAATCTTGAAAAATCACACGAAGGTGCTGCAAAACGTTACGGTAAAAGAGGGAACGCGTCGGAAAAAATAAAAAAGAAATATTCAAAATCACCGAACAATGTAAAAACTGACAATCGCAAAATGACTGGAAATGTGAATATTTATATCTGTTCGGAGGCTACCGAAAATACCCAAGTAATTCTACTGTTTCTCGCTTTGTCGTACTTTATAGATCCGCTAATTAACTATTTCATTCGTTAGGCAGCCAGTAAACAAGAAAAATCTGAAACATGTACCGAATCGAGCTCAACAACAACGACAGAAGAATCGAAAATTTCATCGAGCAAACTTTTGGCTTCCATTCGAAATAAACGCAGGAAATTCGAGGAACGTGATTCGTTCGATCTGCCAGAAAGGGAAGAAAGTAACAACAGCATTGCCTACAGTAATCTTTCCAAGTACATGGATTCGAAGAGCGCAATAAAATCAGAAAGCAGCAACTTTATCGATATCCGTAATAACTTAGATAACGATGTTCGTATAAAGAATATAGAATCTACTTCGACCGAGTGCAAATGTAAAGACACAAATATTAGCGATACCATCGTGACGATTGATAAGTCCGATTTGTCGTTTGAAAAATCGAAATTTGTGATATGCGATGCGTTAGAAAAACCCTTCGACTTCGGAAGAACGAAAACAATTTATCCTGTAAAAAGCTCATCGCTTTCGGAAAGCGAAGAGTGGTCATCAAAATCGGCATGCAGCAGTCGAAATCTAGATTGCGTTCTATCTAACACTTGGTCATTGGAGCCCAATTTGAACCGTATTGCCGAAAGTGAGAAACGTAGAGTGTCACTAAAAACTCTAGAAAGTGTCTGTAAATGTCTTAAAAAAGATCAAGAACTGATCGATAGGTATAATCTACGATGTAACTGTAGAAATAAAAAGTATTCTATTAAAACGGTAGAGAAAGAGCCATTGATCTGCAATTGTATAACAGAGGAGGAGGAAGATGACGTATGCGTTAATGTTGCAACTTCTCGAGAATTTGAAAAATCAGCTGAAGCAGGAAAACAGCAAATAACTACCTGTCGCAAAATTTCAGCAGATGTGAAAGAATCTGCGATGCTTGTTCCAAGCACAGAACATTCTACAGATTTGCACAGTTCCCCCAAACTGAACGAAAAAGATACCAAGACTTTGGAACAAGATAAAAACGAGGAGAAGCTTAAAATAGATAAAACAGAGATATCCGATGAGGATAAAAGCAGTGAGAAAAAGAAAGCTGAACAATTTCATGGCACGCAAGAAATGGACCAACGACCGAAAGAGACTCGACATAATATACCAAAGTTTGTTGCATTTCCAAAATTAGTGAGACCCGAAGTAATCACGCTTAAACATCTCTTGCAACTAAGAAATCCTGAAAAAGCTATCGAACACAAAGATGTTTCACCGACTTCTGTCAAACCATCGAATTCCTTAGAACAATCGGTACAGGATACTAAGCTAAAAGTTAGGAGTCAAGTATCGCCGAAGATTTTAAGAAAATTCAATTTGCCCAAAGAATCTACATTTCCAGAACAACCAACTGTCGAGGAGAAACAACCCTCTTCGGAAGCAAAGGGAAAAGAGGTATTAGACGAAAAATCGTCCAAGGAAAAGTTGGCAGAGAAAGCATTAGAAAGTAAAAACGATACGAAAAATCAAACTGCAAGAAATTTACAAGGAAAATTGAGAGGATCGTTCCTCTTCAAAAGCTTCAAAAAAATTACGGGTAAAGCAGAACATTCGGAAACTAAGACTGATGAATTCATGAAAAAGGATAATAAAATCGCTGAACGTATATCGTCCGATGCTGATACCGATAAAAATCTTCAAATTCCTAAAACAGAAGCTGAGAAGTTACCGGTGAAGCCTAAGATCGAAATTAAAGAAACGTACAAACAAAATGGAAAATTTATTCCCTCTAAAATGTATTCACATATACCAAAAATAAATGAAAGTAAACCCGAATCGGATACAGTTAACCTAACGAAATCGCCTACAAATGAAGGGAATAAGAAAGACAAGAAAAATGACTCGATTGTTAGCCCTTCAAAATCAATAGGAAAAGAAGTAGAACAAGAAGCAAAAGATGAGACAATTTCCGATGACAGTGAAAAGAAGCAGACTAAATCAAAATCATTGATTAATATCGATAGCAAAACTCCACCTGTTTCGTCGACTAAAGGCATTGATAGCGAATTATCGAAGCAAGAAAATACCGAGAAAGATGAAAAGCTAGACGAATCTCGCAAAATTGTTAAAAACCGCGAATTTCACGAATCACTGAAAAAGCCACAGTTTGAAAAGAAATCGGATATCGAAGGAAAGAGGAAATCTGCTTTGCAGATTACCAAAACACGAAGAGAAACACCAGTTAAAATAGCATACGATACACATTGTGAACAAGCAAGTATCGCGGTAGATACCTATTCTTCCAAATTGATCTCATCGTCTCATACTGTATGTTCAAACTCGAATTATGCAAAATGTGCAAGTGCAAACGACTGTATTAGCATGGAGAAAAACACGTGTAATTATTGTAATTGTTGTTATTTACCGATACTTCAATGCGACAACGAGCATATAAATTACCCTAAAAGTTGCTTAAAAATGGAAAGACAATGCTGTCATACCGTTTCTCAAGAAAATAATCGTCCGATTCTATATCACGATAAAAGGAATTGGGAAGAATGTGGTTGCAGAAGAATAATTTCTTGCAACACTTGTTGCAAAGCAAGAAACGATTGCAGGTAAATATTTCAATCTTTCATTGCGGAGTCTCACAGACGACTAAACCTAATTGCGATCGGATAGTTGCAGATTAACGGTGGCCTGTGTAAACTGTTACAAGCCGAAAAATAAATGTAATTGTAAGTCGGTTCGCGAAACAAAGATGGCCTGTAAATGTATGAAATCAATGTTCTGCCTCTATTGCGATAATCCTCGCGACAAATGCACGTGCAGGGCACCAATGCGAAAGTGTTCCTGCTGTAAATTGACAGTGGACCTGTGTATATGTAAGGATCAAAAAACAATTTACGATGGAAGACCGGTCCTGACCGAGCCCGGTAACGATCATACCATGTACGTTACTGCCTGGAAACCCAGGGAAGAGGTACGACGCTACTTTTCCAGAAACTTGACCGATCATAAAACCGATTCAATGAATGAATGTTGCTACTGCGAAAAACTCAAGTCGCGAAACTCCGATGACCTTCCTTATCAACGATTAAGCGTTTTTTCTGACGTGATGGATGAATTACAGAAAAAAATAAGCGAATCTACATGTTGTGCACGATGTAAAAAGATTCCATGTTGTTGTAATATCGCTGTAGAAAAAGACGAGAAGAGAGAAGATAGGATGATAAAGTATCGTATAAGGTAAAATAATTTGATCGATTTAATTCAACTTTAATAAGCAGTAAAAAGGGTGAAAAGTATATATCATGTAACATTTACGTTTTTATTACAGTCCCAAGGCACGACGAAAAATCATCGCGGTATGCATGGAAACATCGAAAAATAAGCTGTTAAATAATTGCAAGTGCGAGTCCAGTTATGCGAAAGGCGATAAACAGAAGAAAATAATAGTAGCCCTCTGCTGTGCTTGCAAATCGGCACCCTGCAGATGTAAGAAAATTAAATCGAATCAGAAGAAACCAAAAGCGAAATGTTATTATTGTAAGAGTTCGCCATGCATGTAAGTATCCGAGAAAAAAGGGGAAAAAGGCGGAAAAAAGAAAATAGAGAAATTTCGCGTTTACGCAAACAACTTCCTTAGCTAATTGCCCTGAACGTAGATCTGGTACTTCCAGTTGCTGATTTTTTATTATGTTCTTTACTACAGCTGCATTGCGGCCAGTGAGCGCAACAAGTCGAGGCCATGCAGGTGCACTGATTCACCTTGCCAAACGAAAGAAAAGGAAAGCACGTCACACGGAAAAACATCCACGAAATCGAAGAACTATGATGAAAAAACAATTTGTCTACGCTAATGCGACACCTGTGATTTAGGTGTAATTAGCAGTATAATGTCGATTCGAGCAAACTACTGCCCGAGATTTTTAAACAAAGAGCAACAAACTTATATTCTTTACATTCTTCCTGGAGTCAGCATTTTATTTTATAGCTTTCGTAAATGTAATCTATAAATAACATAGAATTTTCTTCAATTACACTAATAAGCGAGTTCCGTACTAGGATCTGCATCATTCCCTTACTCTCTTCATCTTCCGCTTCCCGGGAACTCATTTTCTAATCGATTAAAAAACGCAATTTCCACCCTTTCACCAAAAGAAATTTTACAAAAGTAACGTTACTTAACACATTTTCTTTTTCTTTTCCATTTTTGTGCTTGAAACTACAAGATTATATAAAAATTGTACATTTTTTTACACAAATGTATATTATATTATTTATTTCATGTTACTAGATTAGATACGTTCTTACGTTACAAATACGTAATCATAAAAGTCGATAAAACTTTGATATTGCTATAGTTACGATACAGCATTTAATACGTTACAAAACACTCTGATTACGAGAACAGTTTACTTAACGAAACAAACATTTTGTTTCTTAAATCATAACGAGTGCTAACACGACACAGTGGCACCATTATTTTTCGTATGGTATTTCATTTACATATGGTATTTCTTGAATGAAACGAAAACGAATGAAAAGAATAAGAAATTCAAAATTAGCCTATTCCGAATTAAAATCAAATTAACCGAGTTTCGTTAATGTAAAGATACCTCGTAATTATATACAAAATACAGCAGTGCTTGGTTAAATTCCATCAAAATCTGCTAGATTAAATCTACATTGATCACCCCCACTTTTCTTTCATTTCTCAGTGTCACGAGCTTAGCAAAACCTCGTACACCTGAT